TATGAGTAATAGTCGTATGATCAATTAATTACTATTAACATTGACTTATATAAGTTTTTAATAAACAATAATGTCATTGATAATTAAAAACTAATGTGATGTGTGTTGTCTGCTAAAGTTTTATTATCATACTTTAAAATGATGCAATATGCATTTTATTTCATTTAGAGTAATGCATGCTTCAAAGCGTATATAATAGCATTCAAATAAGCTTAATAAGCTTTATAACAGCTATTCCGCCTTTTACTTTCTTCTCTTTCTCTCATTTCTCTCTCCCTCTCTCTCTCTCTATTTTTTCTCTTTATATAAAAATTATTTTATTTTTATTCTACAAATTATTTACATTTTGTTCTTCTATATTTCATTATTTCAAACAGTGATCAATGCATTCTGTATGGTGATAATTGAATTTTAATATTGATTTAATCAAGCGTACAAATTATATAAATGATATCACTGCAATAATTTAATCTAATTTTTATATACCAATTTATTTATGTAATTTAATTGCTATATTCAGTTTGAATTGAAACCTTTAATAAGTTTATTTTAAAGCTAAAATATTTATTATTTGTAATTTTATTTTATGTGCAAAAATGCAAATTATATTGAAATAAATGAATGCAATAAATGAAAATTTTTACATTTAATATACGAATATATTTTCCTCTAAATGTTTTCTTTTAATTAGTACTTTTGATTTATTTCTTTTGAGTGTTAAAATTTTTTATTTTACAAAAGTTTTTTTTTTTTTTTTTTTTTTTTTTTTTTTATGCAAAAATGGATTTTACAATTAAATTGTAGTGTTGCACAATCAAATTTTATTTAAACAGATACTTCATTTTAATTGATATTTTCGATTATTTATTATTTCTATTTTTTCTAAGTAAAAGTTTATTATTACGAAAATTTTTTTTTCTCAAAAAATATAGTTTATAAAAAAGTAGTCGCAATAAAATAAAAAGAAATGCGATTAAAATATACTTTAATTATCATTTTTAAATGCAAAAAAATCATTCGTAATATAATTCAAATTTTACAATAATTTTATAAAATTTCCCACTCATTAGTAGTAACAATTTGCTTCCTTTTAATAATTTTAATAATCATAATAAATTGATGATATCACTTTTTTAATGACAAATATTTTTTGATTTAATGACAATAATCTTTCTCATCTTCTTCATTTTTTTTTTTTTTTTTTTAAGAAGCTTTAACAACGAATGAATATATTTTGCTATTTGTCATTTTTTAAAATGTTTGAATTTTGTTGTTCCTTAATAATTCATTTATCGCTTTTATTTTATCTCCAAACATCTTTTCAACTTTATTTTGTCATATAATTTCAAATGCAAATTTTAAATTAAATAAATTTAAAAACTTTTTTTCTAAATATTATAATTATAACACTTTCAATGTGTTTAAAAATAACACAATGCTTCATTATTATATCATTCTTATAATTCCATTTTTTTTTTGTGTTTTATTTCTTTTCAATTTGTTCGCCAATTTTTTCTTTTTTTTAATATTTAATTTTAGTTTTTATTTTTTTTTAACACAGAAATATACAAATTTTTCTATAATTGAATATATAATATATCGATGAAATTTTTGAATTTAATTAATTGCATTACATTGAAGTAAAGAAGTTTGCCACTTTTATAGACTATTAATTTTTTTTTTCTTCCTTCGATACTTTTATTAAATTACCAATTGAAGTTTTCCTTTATTGATCATTTAAAATAGATTTTACATATTTGAGCAATGCTTCCAAAAAAATTTTGCAAGAAATTGTTAATGTAGCAGAATAATGAGAAAATATTACTTTAGTGCTGATTTAAAATAAAAAGTAAATTTGACCAAAATTTTTGACCATACACTTGCAAATAGGATTAGAATAAAAATTTCATCAGAAACCTGTTCGTTCATTTATATATTTTTCTAAAATTTATTAACGATTTTAAAAAGAAAAAAATATAAATTAACAGGTTTCTTAAATTTGCTAATTTATACATTAAAAAAAATTATTTTTTCTCATTTCCCTGCTTATTCCATTCTTTTCATTTCGTTTATTCATCGAATGCTAAATTTCCTTATTAGTTCATTTTCTTTTTTCTTTTTTCAAAATATGGAGTAACATTTTTTTTTTTTTAAATTGCTGCGTGGTAATTATAGAATTACTTTTAATTAAAAGCATATCAGTGCTAATTTAATTAATAAATTATCACAAGAAAAAAAAGCTTTTGTTTTCTTTTTTTTTTTGATATGAATAAAGAAAATGAACTGTGTAAAATTAATGCAAAAACGAATGAAATAGAAAAAGCATGCAAGAAAGGAAATGGAAAAAGAGTAGTAAATTGAATTTTGACTTCTTCAAAGTTTTTCATGTTACTTAAATTCATTCCCTCACTAATTTTTCATTCTATTCAAATATTTGCCTTTGTAAACATTATGGCTTTGAAATTTAATGAATTTTGTTTCACAAATTTATTTTCAAAAAAAAAGCAAAAATTTCTTTCTTTATAGAGTTTTATTTAATAATAAGGCAAAAAAGAGATAAATGATAAAAAAATAGAAAAAAAAAATGATTTAAATATAATTATTAGCAACAGATATGAGAAATAATTGCAAAATTTGCAATAAAAAAATTTTTTTAAATTTAAAAATTTTGAAAATTTATAAAATTTGTGGTAAAACTGTGGTTGTTAAAACTAGAGAATAAATTTATAATAACTTGAATTTATGATGAAACAATTTTTTTACAACAACAAATTAAAGATTAGGAAAGGAAAGTGGATAAATTTATTAATTCAAATTAACCAATGTTTGTTAACATTCATTATTTGATTTACAGTAAGTTTGTAACCTTGTTAATTTTTCTTTCTCTCTCACTCTCTTTCTCTTTCCCTTTCTCTTTCTCTCTCTTTCTATTTCATTCTATTCAATTTTTATATTTTTACACTACAAAATTAACAAAATTCATACAATTCAATGAGAAATGAAAGTAACAGCAATGTAAAATTAAATCGTTTAAATTTATTAAATTTTGTTGCTTAGTCCGAACAAATTCAAAAAAAAGTTCAAATTTTGTTGCTTAGTCGGAGCAAATTCAAAAAGAAAAAACGTCAAAAAAAAAAAAAAAAAAAATGAAAAATTCATTAAATTATAATATTTGAAGTGAATAGTTAGATCAGAAATTTTTCAGCATCTAATGATTATATTCGAAAATTTTTCGGTATTAAATTATCAAATTAAAAATTTTTCAGGAAAAAATTTATGAAAAGAAATTTATCAATTTATTGATTTTTTGAAAAAAAAAGAAAAAAGTTTATTAAAAATATTTCATCAAATATGTCAATCTTTGCTAAAAGTGAACTTTTTTTTATTCATTTTATTCTATTTCTTTTCTTTTTATATTTTTTCATTTTTCATTTTTTTTCATTTTTTTTTTGGAAAAAATATTGAAAAAGCATGAATTAAGTGTAAATTGAAGCTTTAAAGCTTAGAATTTTTTTTTAGGTTTTTTCTTTTTCTTCCTTTTTCTTTCTTTCTTCTTTTCTTTTTTTTTTTTTTCAAATAACTGAAACAAAATGAATGTTACGCTTGATTGCTGACAATTTCAACTTCGCTTCTTTTCATTTTAAAAACCAAAAGTTTTCGTTTCATCTTCATCTTTTATCTTTTTCCTCCAATAAAATGTTTTTTTAGTGAATTAACGAGAAAATATTAATAATCATTATCATATGAAATAAAAATAAAAAATATTTTATTCAATTTTTAAAAAATTTACGAACACATTTCTATTAATTTTAATCAAACAATAATAACAACAATAATAGTAATAATTGTAATAAATTAAAAAGAAAAAAATAAATTTTTTTTAAAGAAATATTTGAAAAAGATTTTTTGCGCTTTTTTTTTCTCCAATTTTGGTTGGTTTAATTTAAAAATGCCAATTAACAGAGAAGCAAATTAACCAAATAATTGAAAAGCATCATTTGTTGAAAATTTCAACAATTTTTTTTTTCCTTTTTTGTTTGAACTTTTATGTAAAATAGGAAAATTTTTGCATTTGCGTGTGCATTAGCGCATAAAAATGAAATGATTTAATTTATATTTTTATTTGTATTTTTAACTCAAAGAGAAAAGAAAAAAAAAAAAAAAAACTCTAATAGCGTAAAAGTATTAATGATTTGAATTGGTCTCAGAAGAATTTTCAAACATTTCACATAACCAACTAATTTTCTAACAATTTTATATGTTTTTTTTTTTTTTTTTCGCTCAGCTTTTGTTTACTTATTATTTGTTGCAAACTTTTCTGTTTATTAATTTTAATGTTAACAATTCTCAGTTATAAAGTTCAATTAATATATTCTAAATTTGAGAAAAATACTATTATTTGCTTCAATTTCCAATTCATTTCCAATATATTTGTAGGAAAGAAAGGAAAAAGGGAAGAAAACGTATCCATAAAAGTTTTCAAAATATTTGTTAACTTTTAATTTATTTTTTGATAATGATTAGTGTTATAATAACAATAGTTAAAATAATAATTTACCGCAAACTTTTGCTTTCCCTTTTTTTTACTACGATAATTGTTTGTTGTAAAATGCTAATCAAAAAAGTTGCAATGTTATATAGTTGTATTTAATATATTACTAATAATAATTCCAGTTTTTTTATTTTGAAATAAAAAATTTTGAATTCTATGAAAGTTACAGTGCATTATTACATACAATGAATTTAACATGAATTTATAATTATATTTGATAAATGTTAATGTGAAACTAAAATAATTAGTTATATCAAAAAATTCTAAATTCATTTCGTTAATTTTCGTGCACAATTTCGTAGTTTCAATCTTTCAAATTAAATCTAAACAAATTATCATTTCTTTTTTATTTTCATTTCAAATTTTTATGGAATTTATTCTTTTTTTAAATCTTATTATTGTTTTTTTTTTTTCTTTTTTAGTTCCTTTTTTTATATATTTTTTTTCTATAGTTTTTTCTTATAAATTTGTTGATTTTGGCAAATTAAGTTCTTATGAGTGTGGTTTTGATTTATCTTTGAGGGTTCGGGATAGTTTTAGTGTTGTTTTTTTTTTAATTGTTTTGATTTTTGTTGTTTTTGAATTGGAGGTTATTATTTTTATTATTTTAATTCAGGGTGATTTTTATGGTATTTTTTCTTTTTTTTTGTTTTTTCTTTATGTTGTTTTTAGTTTTTATATGGAATGGTATTTTGGGAAGTTATTGTGATGTTGCGTCAGTCATCAAAAGTTAGTCATAATGATCATATCAAACAAAAATTAACTTATGCTATTTATTATTTTTTTTTGTCATCATAAACTTGTAGCTACTTTTCATTATCATTATTATCACTATATCTTTTACAATTGACTTATCTCATATTTTTTATCAATAGAAAATGCTAAATTTAGTTACTTATTGATTTATGAAGTAAAGTAAGTATGTCTACGGTTATTTCATACTAACTTGTCAAATCTTATATTCATTGTAAACTATTGAAATATCAAATTTTGAAAGCTTTAACTTTCTTAGCTTTTCATTTTTCTCGTTTTTTCTCATATCATTTGATTCAACTGCGTGTGATTTTTCTTTGTTCTTTTCTTTTTTGAATCTTTCAATGTTCTAAAAATTCTTCCAACAAATGATAAATTTCAGAAATTGCATTAGTAATTAGTTTTGTTTACGAAAGAAAAAAAAAATTTTTATTCATAAATTTTTCAATTATTTCATTGAATTATTTGTTCAAATTAATAATTATTAAAAATTTCTCTATAAAATAAAAAAGAAATTTGCTCAAAAATACTCAACAGATGCACAGATGCATTAAATTGACATTGAATTCATTGAAAATGTTAGATTCATCCAGGATGTCTTGAAGATACCAGATGCACTGGTGATATCAGATTCATCCAGGATGTCTTGAAGATACCAGATGCACTGGTGATATCAGATTCATCCAGGATGTCTTGAATCATTTGAAGCATATCTTTTTGAAAACTTTAATTCAAAATTGAAAAAAAAAACAAAACTAAAAGCAATTATTTTTGGTGCATGTTTTTATAAATCGATGATTTTTAATTAAGATTTATGTTTTTGTCATAATTTCAATATAAAAAAAAATCAAAAACAAAAGGAAAAATTTTGATGGATAATAGCAATTCTTTTTTCATTTTTTTTAGACATTTTATCAATTTTTTTTATTTTGCAAATGAAATAATAATAAATTTATGGAAGAATGCGATAGAATGTGAACTGTAAGTAAATATTTTGTATACATTTAATTTAAATTAGATGCACACAGTAATTATCATTTTGAAATTCGGTTTCAAAAATATTTCAAAAAAAGTATTTATGGTTAATTACATATTTATAACCGAATTATATTCTAGGTACCGTTCTGTCATAATTATTACTGTAATATTATTTTATATTATTAATATACACACTATTCAGTCAGTTATCAAATTTATTTGTATATCAATTTCACCAAAAATTATCATTTTAAAATACTGGCCTTAAAAATAGTTAAAAAATTATATATTTTAAGATTTTACCGTTCTGTCATAATTATTATTGTAATATTATTTTATATTATTAATATACCAAAAATTATTTGATCGCTTCTTATCGTTGATATATAATATAATTATTTTATTCACTTATTTATTTTAATTACTCACTTCTAATTAATTTATTAAGCCAAGCAGTGAACTAATTTATTTCATATATCATCGCTTCTTATCATTATTTTCTATTATCATCTCTATCACTAAATAATTTCTATTCACATTTCAATGAATCAAGTAATTAATTGGTTATCATTCGATTGCTTATGACTGATGCTTGATTATTTTTATCTTTAAACTATTATTTTATTTGAAACTGATGTATTTTTAACAATTTTACACGATCATTTGATAAAATTTTGATCGCTTTTATTTCATTCTTATCACATTAGAGAAATGAAATAATTTATCTTTTTTTACATCACATTTTATTTAAAAAAAAAACTGAATTTTGTAACACTTTGATGTCTGATAATCATAATGAATTTGAATTAATTAATGAAATATTTCATTATGTAATTCTTCAAATATTATTTAGTCAATTTTTAATTTTGCACCTTAATTTGACAGATTTTTTTTGCCTTTTTTAAAACGAAAGTAACTTTCAAAAATGTTCATTTAACACGAATTGCCATAAAAAATTCATAAATTGAAAAAAAAAAAGAGGAAATCATATATGAGAAATCAATATTCCAACAAAATTTGCTTCATTGCTTGCAAATGCAAAAATTCATTTTGAAATATGATAAAAGGAAAAAAGTCAAACTGATATTAAAAAAAAGCGTATTCAATTACCATCTATTTATCATTTCTCTATTCCATCAACAATATGTGAGTTAATTATAATTAAACTTTCAAATTTTCCTTTCAAATTTAATCGTTTATTTCCATTTTCTTTATTTCCAAAAAAATTTCCATTTCTTTCCACTTTTTTTTTTGTTTATTCATTTTTATTTTTTCACATTTTATAACAAAGAAGTGAAAAAAAAAAGTAAAAAAAAAGCAATGAAAGAGTAAAATTGATAGTAAATTTGTTAGTGTGAGAATTTGTTAAAATAAATTATACAAACAAATAGAATTTTTTATATTTGACAAAAAAAAAAAAACAATTCATATTTTTTTATATTGAAGAAGAAAAAAGAAATTGAATGGAAAGAAAATAAATAAGAAAAAACTAGTTTTGATTTCAATTTAATTCACTTAACTTATATAATTGGCTCTTTTTTTCTTCACTTAGTTTATCCTTTTTTTTTTAGAAAAAATTCCACAATTTTGTGTTATTTGAAAAATAAAAATATGGAAAATGTCACATTGAAAAAAATAAAAAATTTTCTTTCCTTTTATTTATTCAAAAAACAAAAAAACTAAATTTACTTCAATTTTGAAATATTTTATTCTTAATTTATACTTATCTTACCTTACTTATAACTTAACTTAATATAAAAAACTTTTACAAATTGTATGATTCTTATAAAAATCAATATTTAAATTTGAAATAAAAATTAATTTTAATTGTAAAAATGAATTAAAATCATGACTAATTAATTGCTTCATTTTTCTTTCTATCGTTGTAAAAATTGTGTTATTAAATAATTTTTTTTATTAATCCATCCTTTTTTTTGTTGTATTTTTGTGTTGGCAAAAATTAATTACCAATTTTTGCTTATATTTTTGCTCTAATCTACCGTTTTTTTTCTTTTTTTTTTTTGAATATTTTTTTTTTAAAAAATGTCGCATTGAAGATGTCAAGAAAATAATTATTTCTATGAAAATTGATGCAATGCATTTGCACTTTTCTCATATTTGTCTTAAAATTTAATAATTTCATATTTTTAAGCTTTTTAAAAAATTCAAAAAACTTTCAAACTTATCAAATGAATTCAATGCAATTCACATAGACATTGACTTTTTGTTTGAACTTTGACATTTTATTTAAAATATATAATTTATTCTTTTTTTGTGCCATTTTTTGACAATTGTTAATTATTATTATTATTTTATTTAGTTTCAATATGTAATTTAAGTTATAGTTCACATTTTTCATTTTTTTTTTTTTCTGAAATATCTTTCTTTTTGCAAATTAATTTGAAGATGTCACTTTTGTTGTAGCATTCATTTCTCAACATTTTTCTCTTCAATCTATTAGCTTTTTTTTTTTTTTTTTTTGTAAAATATTTTTTATAAGCAAAATCTTTTTCAAACTTTACGGTCAAATTTTTATTTATTGTAAAATACTGAACCAGTTCATGATTTTTTTTTTTAAAATTTAGGCCTCAAGCTGATTATTTTGCCATCTTCTGCAATACTGAATTTTTTAACAAATTATTCATTTCTTAAATAATAAATTTTATATTATTATCATGTCAAGACTAAATATATTATGTTTAACACTTTGCAAACAAATTAAAAAATTAATAAGAAATAAATAAAATTTTCTTGTTTGCTTTAAAGAATTTTATACGTTATTTCAGAGCTTTATGAATTTTTTGAAACTTCCATGAAAGTGAAATGAAAATCGCTTGAACTTTTCATTCTAAACATTGTCAATGCATTTTTCGAACGATTCAATTCTATCTGCAAATAAGTATGAAATTTTATCAATTATTTCTTTTCTTTTTTTGTTTTTAATAAATTTCGAAATATTAAAATACTGAAACCGTGATTAAATCAATCAAAATTTGTTTTAAAATATTCATTCTTTCATCGTTTTTTTCTTTTTAATCTAATAATAACAATAAAAAAGTAACGTTAACAATAAAAGGAGTGATAATAATAATAGTAATAGTAATAATAATGATAATAATAATAATAGTAATAATTATAATAATAAATAGTAACAACAATAAAAATGCTATTGTTAAGAACAATAATAATGGTAATTCGATGTAATTTCTAGAGATTTCATATGAATTGCATTTTATTCTAAATAATTTTATTTTACAAAAAAGAAAAAAAACGGAAAAATTCTCAAATAATACCATTGTTTTTATAGATTTCAAAGTTTAATTATATTCCTATGACTTATTTTACTAATTTCTCTTCTTTTATAGTTATCATTTTACATATTTCTTTCGAAAATTATTATTTAGCATTAGTTTAAATTGATTAATTTGAACTAATCGCAAATACTTTCAGATCACCGTCATCATGGATGCCTCCAACACAAAGTGCGCATATTTTTGGTGCAATATTTATTGGATGTGGTGTAGCAGCGCTAATTTTCAATGCTGCCATCATGATAACACTTTGTCATTTAAGGAGAAATATACTGTCACGTGTTTTCTATTTACTTATCTTTAATTTTGCTATCATTGACCTTCTTAAAAGTATGTCATAAATGAAATAATTATATTTTAATAAGTATTAATCAATATGGTGAAGAAAAAAATAATTGGAGAAATCAAAATAAAAAAAATCAAAAATTTTTAATATTACAAAAAAATTAGTTGCAAATTAAATTCTGTGCAATAAATATGGAATAAATTAATTAATTCATTGCAAATTAATTTTATAAAAGGGTAGCACCAAATTTTATCAGATCAGTTACCATGTTATATTATTGGTGCATGAATTTTTTTTACAGGTACATGCTCAATAATATGGGCATTAAAAATGTTACCCGCGGGTATTAGTACTTCCATGTATTTTATGAAGGCTGATCAATTTGCGTTGATGATTTTACGTTTCGCAAATTTGGCAACAATTTTGAATTTGTTAATACTTACACTTAATGAATATGTTTATATTATTTATCCATTTCATTATCGCCGTCTTGTTACTAAGTCAGCAATTAATTATTTTATCATTAATTTGACTCACCCTACAGTACCACCATCTACAGTAAATTGAGCATACGGTAATCGGACATTGTCTTACTGTATATGCACATTTTCTTTTTATTTCAAAAATAATATATTTAACTGAAAAAAAAAAATTGCAAAAGATTTCAAATATTGTCAAAAAAACAGAAATATTAAAAATGAGAGGAAAAAAGACTCAAATTTGTTAATGTAAAGCATAAAAAAAATGAAAAAGTTATCTCAGCATTTTAAGCTGTATAACATTAAATATTGATAAATGTGTTAATTTTAAATTTTCATATTACTTTAGTTAATATATTGTTACAGTTATAGTGTTATAATCATTAAATTTTGCATTTGCAAGAATTAAATTTATAGTACAAGAGTTACACTATTAATTGTAACTTGTTGGATAATAGCATGGGGATTAACATTATCCATTTTATTTTTTGGTTCACGAAAGCAATCGATTTATGTTAAACCGGATTGCTTAATGAAACGAAAACATTTCAGTCAGCATGTAAATAACGAAGGTAAGTGATATTTTGAAAATTTGTTTAAAAAAATGCAAAAATTCAAATTTAAATCCAACAATTTAGAGTATGTTATAAATAAATTTAAAGTATTGTAATTTAATTACATATAATATTTCAAAAATTTGCCAAATACACATAGTGAAAAAGTTTTAATTTATATCTGACAGCTGAATAGATATTAAATATAAAATACTGTGACTAAATTATATGTAAAAGGAGATTTTAAATAAGAATGGTATAAGTGATTTTAGAAGCAATAAATTTCTATTGGATGCATTTATTAGTAATTCTAAAAATTACTCATGGGAAATAATTTAGCTCTATTTTTAGTTAACATTTTATAAAATGGTAACCTATTTATGTTCAATTAATCAGCCTAAAAAGAAATGAGAAAAGATGACAACGACGGAAAAAGAATTAATTTTTTTTATTTATACTATATTGTAATTATCCAACATATTCCGCTCTTATTTAATTTAATCAAACCAAGCAATTTTTTTTTTTTTTTTTTTTGCTTTTCAGCAATTACAACTACAATAACAACTATAGCAATAACAACAACAATAACAACAACAACAAAAGCAACAACAACAGCAGTAACAGACAATATTTCGTATTCACTACGTTTACCATCCTGTAAGTTCGTAGTTATTAATTTATTCATTTTTTTTCTTTCATTGCTCAGATAATAGAACTGTAAAATAGATCAAACAAGGAATTGAGAAGAAAGAAAGCGAATTAATAAGCAAATAGACAAATAAATAAAACAAATAAACAGGAAATGTTATTCAGGAAAACAGAAATTGAAATAAATAAACAATTAAATATTCAGAAGATTTTTTATTCTTTTATATGAAAAAAAGTTTTTGAACTAAAATTTTCACCTTTTAATTTACAGCTTGCTTTATACGCAATAGTCAGATATCAAATAATACCGAATTTGTTTATAATATCGTTGTTATTGTATTTTGTTTTGTATGTCTAGTTATATCAGTTGCATGCTATGGTGGATTAATTCGTGTCATTTCAAAAATTGTCAAAAATGATACATCGGTATGCTGTTTGCATTAATTTTAAATTTGCAAATTAAATGATTTTAATAAAAGTCAAAGAGAATTTATAAAATTTTGATTCCAATCATTTTTTTTAGCATAGTTATTTTTGAAATTATTTCTAATAAATTTTTTAAATATGATAATTTAAAATTATTCCATACATAATTTTATCGAATATTAATATGACTTTTTAAGAAAAAGTTTCATTATTTATAGATAGCGATTGACAATGATTGTCAAGCTAATGATAGTTTAAATGGTAAGTAAATTAAAGTGTTATTAATTGAAAGTTTTATTAACTATGTTCATTTAAAATAAAAGTTATAAACAATAAAAACCACATTTGATAACTGATAAAAATGCAATGATTAAAAATTTATTGATTACAGAAAAAATTGATTCTATTTTCTATTTGAATTATTTTATTAGATAAATATTTTGTGTTCTAATAATGCATTACCTATTTTTGATATTTCGATATAGCACAAAATATTGTCTAAATATTACGGAAAAGATTGAATTTATATCTATCATCATTTGTTCAAGAAAGATAACTAATAAGCTTGGAGTGACAGCTGTAAAAAGTATAATTCAAAAATTTTTGCTATTTAATTTAATTTCAGGTGAATTTAATCGAACAAGAAAGCGTTTATTAAAAAGGAACAAATATGTAATCGTAATTGGCAGTGTATTGGCTATATATACTGTTTATCTTATTTCATATTCAGCTATTAAATTTCTATTTGTTAGTAGACTAAAAAGGTTTTAATTTAAATTTCTATCATTTTAAAATTACTTGAAATGTAATATTTGAAATTAATAAGTGGATGAATGTTATTTTTAGAGAAAAATTGGAATTATTGCATAAATTAGAATGTAAAATGAAGTTTTTAACAAATATTATTCATTCTAAATAGGTTTATTAATTTAAATTATTAAATTATTTCATTAATATTGATTAAAACTTTGTTTTATTCGCTGCTAACATTTTAAGTTCACGTTTGGGCATTTCATTCACTGCTATGTATTACGTACGATGGGGTTTTCAAACGTTAATGTGTATAAATACGCTCTTGCAACCACTTTGTTATTTTAGGATGCAAGAATTTCGAAGCACTTTCAAAACGTAATTTGTGTTACTATCTATTTATGTTTTATTAAATTTTTTTTTAATTTGAATCTTCAAAAAAATTAAATTTTTTTTAATTGAATCTTCAAAAAAAATTTAAAAAAATAAGTATGAAATTTTAACAGTCATAAAAAGTTGACTATGAAGGACTGAATTCAAATTTTTAATTTCGTCGACAATATAATTGGAATATAAATTTAACATTTGAAAAAAAAAGAAAAAAAAAATATTTCTTTCAGCGTCATATTTCGTCGTAAACAAAGCAAATCACTGATAGCTGAAACGACCTATTTATCCACTACAGAAAGTCGACGACGAATCGTTTTCGGAAACAATAATAGAAATGATAAAAATGAAAGAGAACAAATAACTTAGATTTAATGCCACAAATTTTCATTTGTTCATTAGCTCATTAGTCTTCTTGAAATATCTTTTGATGTTGTACCTTTCAGGTAATATCTAAGAGAAAATCTTCAGTTTGTTTACTATTATAAGTTTTATAAATACTAAAAGAAGAATAAAAATTATGGAAAACAAAAAATGAAAATAGAAATTCTTACCAATTTGAAGTTTTGTTGATTAATTAATTATTTTATTTTTCCTTTTTTGAAAGGAAGAATAAAATTTGCTTAAGGTGCTTCATCATATAATTCGCATCATTGTATATTTTTTAGACCAAATATTGTTAAAGTGTAAATGAAAATTTTTTTTCTAAAGAATTATTTTGAACTAAATTGAATTAAATTAAATTATAAATGTAAAACTTTTAATTTTTAAATAACTCAATTTTGTCAATAATTTAAATTTTTAAATGTTTTTAATCCATTATCTTTGTCATTTTTAAACAGTTGTTCACTCGTTCACATACAATATTTTCAATTATTAATTGTTATTTAAAGTTTTATTCATAGATTGAATTAAATATTAATTTCCTGATAATACATACCGTAATTAGCATTAGTCATAACATTTCATCTTTCACTTTCTCACCAATTATCATTATACGTTTATTTGTTAGCAGTGCATATGAATGTTATCTACCGTATATCAATTCATTTGCTATTAAATAAATATTCAAAAAAATGTTATTATTTCAATAATTTAAATTTCTAATACCTTTCCTTTTCTATTGATTTATTGATTTAACAATTATTTCAAACTCTTTTCATCATGTTCAAATCAAAAATTTTTACATATATGTATTGTTAAAGTGTAATGAAAATTTTTTTTCTAAAGAATTATTTTGAACTAAATTGAATTAAATTAAATTATAAATGTAAAACTTTGTATGTGTGTGCACGTGTGCGTACGTGTGCGTTATACGTGTGCATGTCCGTATGTGTGGATACATGCGTGTATGGCAGTTTAAAAAAAAATGATGAATAGAATATTGAAATAGATGACGAAATGATGTTGAACAGTATGCATTATGTATCCATTTTTTTTTGTGATAAACTGATCAAAATTAATTGACAATATATTAAACACATTAAAATCAAAGTTCAGAGAATGTCAAAGTTCAAGCAGAGGTCATTTATAGAGTATATATTCATCAAGTGCTTCTCCCTTTTTATTTCTTTATTACTTTCTTTCTTGTTTTATAGTTAGATCATATAATAATTGCTATTACATTGAAATTTAAGGCTAAAATACTGGTTGACATGCTAAACAATTTTTTGCTTCATCTTTTCTTAGATTAAATAAGCACATTAATGTTCAATATTAATTATAATTTTCATTAGAAACACAGTAAGATCCAACAGATAATTCAAGAATGGAATAACTTTAACTTAATCATTTATCATTACAATAACAAAATCCGACATTTTATGTGATTCACTTATAGTTGTTTCGTTTTTGTGATTAAGGTTAATCGGTAACCAATTAAAATTTAATTTTATTTATTTCGATTCAATGTTTTGAAGTTAAAATTTTAACAAGGCATAATAAACTATGGTAAAATTGAATTCAAGCAAATTATATCAACCATAATAGATTCTATTTAAGTAATTAATAATTCGATTAGCAATTTTGTCTCTTTAAAATTTCAAAATTTTTTCTTTTGTATGCTAATCTTCCATTTACGTATAGATTGTCGTACGTCGTTTGATAATTTGTCGACAAATATGACACAGTTTCAATTTTGATGGATTGCTGCATTCCACGCATGCTGTATGTCCACATTGAAATACAATGCTGCAACGTTGATCCATGCATATTGCACACGTAACTTCGAGCTCCAGTTGTTCCAACTTATCACGCAATTCACGCACTATTTCATTTTTCTCTACAAGAAAAAAACGGAAGTAAAAGAAAAAAGAACACAAATGCATAATAAGGATACAAATATTAGCAGTGTTAACGTGAAACAATGACGCAAATGACGTTAGATATTTTATTTACTCGTTGTGTTATTGCATATCTTTTATATGCATATTATTTATTATTATTTCTTTAAGTCAACTCATATTTCGCACATTTGTATTTTAAAAGATTACAAAAATTTTCAGTTTAATTTTGTACAACGCTTTAGTCTAGCACTACTTATGTAAGCTAAGTTCAAATTAAATATGGTTTATCAATACAATTAGCTTACGTACGATTATCCATAACACGTTAAAAAAAAAAAAAAAAAAACACAAATAAAACGAAAAAAAAAGTTATTTACCTTCTTCAGCTGCTTTCTTGGCACGTTCAACAGCTTCTTGCGCAATTTTTTCAATTTCAACTTTATCTACTACTCTGATATTTTCGCCCAATTCAGCATCACTATATTTTCTATATCGTATAATATTACCACCAATTTCAACCATTTCTCCATCTAATGTATTATAATTATTGTTTCTTCTTCTTCTTATTATTATTATAACTATTATTATTGTTATTATCATTTTATCATTATTATTGAAATCAACCTGTCATATATAAGTACCAAAATGTGTCAGCAAAATCTATTTGGCACTTCTGTTTTCATTTATTTTACAATTTGCTTGGTTATTTTACTAACAAACATACAAAGCATAATGAGTAAGCAAAGTCAAAGTAATGTGTGTAACAATTAAAATAAATAGTAAGCAGCAATAACAAATTAACATTTGAATGAAAATTAGTACCAAAATAATTTGCAAATTTAAATAGTTTAATAACAATAGCAATGATTTAGTTGTAACTTTCCTTCTTGTTATCATAATTATCACACATAATTATTCTTTCTACTTTTCTTTTTTAAATCAATAATAGCATAACATTATAATTTTAAGATTAAAAAAAAAAAAAAAAAAAACTTCCAATAAACAATCATACATGAATTTTTTGCCGTAATAATTTGCTGATAACATAACGGACAACGTCTCAGTAAAGTGTTACCGGCACAGGTAGCACAAACTACTCGATGACCGCATGGAATGAAAACAATATCTGCTCTATTGTCATCACAGTTAAATGTACACATTGTCACCTCGGTAGTATCAAAGCTTCGTGCTATCGTACGGCTCATTGGAATGCATGATCTGAAATTTGTGAAATAGCTAATTTTTGTAAGCAAAAAGCAATATAATTAATTAAAATAATTTTTGAATAGTATTTGATTAAAAATGGATAAAATAAATTTAATATTTTATGAAAACAGCAATCAGATTAGACCAAATAAATCATTTTGGTTTATTTTCTTAACATTATTTTTTGTAGTTACTTTACTAAGAAATGGAAGAGCTTTGATTTAATAATAAATTCGTAAAATCTAAATTCGTTAATCATAGATATCGTATTTTAAAACAACAATAGTTGAATAATGAAAGCAGAAAACTCCTTAATAATTAAAATGATTATTCAGTTCCTATTTATTTCAATATAGTTTGCTAAAACTTCAATAATATAAATTGAAAAATATCTTACATAATATCATTATTGACGTTAATTAGTAAGATCATTTTGAGTATTACTGATTATCACTATCACTATTATCATTGTAATTAACCTTGGTCTGCAAGTAACATATTGTTCAAACAACGATTTCAGAGTTGGTTCGGTAACTAATTCAAATGGAACAGATCCGGAACGATCACGAATTTGCGGATCTGCTCCTTGCGCAATTAGGAAACACATTACCGCAACAGGCCAGTGCGGACGAAATGTCGATGCAAGTTCCTCCAAACGCTGAAGCAAAATAACTTTTTTGCTTATTTTAGTTTCAAAAAATGAAAGATGACTTAAAAAATTCATTGAAAAAAAATCTAATACCAAAATACTTATTAATTAAATAAACTAAATTTAGCTTCTTTTCTCATTTATATTAACTGTTCAAAAAAAATAAATCACTTAATAAGAATCCGTTTTCTTTTTCTTGTTCAATTAATTAATAATTATTTTTAATAGCATGATAAATAATAAATAAACTACCATATTTGATTTTTTCATTTGTAATACAATTTGTATTTTATCATTGCTTATTGCAGCTTCTCCTTGAGTTGCTTGGGCTGCTAAATGTAGTGCCGTCATTCCGTCACAATCACGTTTATTTAAAGGTACACCCGAAGATACGAGTAACTGGAAATGAAATATTTGAAATGATTACAAAAAAGAAAAACTTTTCTGAAAATCTAAACCTTAACTCAGTTTTAAATTGGACACTTAAAAACTATAAATTTTAAGTTATTCATGAATTTGAATATTTTGTATAATTAATATGCAGCATCTCACTGCTATATTTTATCAAATTACTTAATGAGTGATTAATTAAATACAACATCGGAAATGAATTACTTGAATACAAGAAAGGCGTTGCATATCTTTATCAGCTTTACCATCCCAACGTTCCACTGCAAAATGCAATGCTGTTCGATTAGCTTTCGTTGTTTTCTTTGCATCAGAAGAATGCTCAAAATAAAACTAATAATAAAATTTAGAAAAAAAAAAGAAAAATTATGAGCAATATTTGATTCTTTTCTTATTTTATCCTTTTTCGCTTCTTTTTTTTTGAATTAAAAATCATAAATAATTAAAATAAAAAAAGGAGGAGAAAAAAAAAATTAATTAAAATTGAAATTCTGAAAAAAATTCTGAAAGTTTTTTTTTTAATTTTTACTTTAAGAATAATTCCCAATACGTTAATATGACCATATGCAGCAGCAAGATGTAATGGTAACAATGAATATGAACCATCCGATGAAAGAAGTGATGGTCTCATGTGAATCATTGATTCCACAATGCTAAATGTTAAAATTCAAATTCAAAATTCAAATTAATTTAAATGTACGATGAATTTGTTTTATCTTAATTAAATTTTAATGAAATATGATAAGGACTAGTAAGTTTAATTATCAATTTTTTTTAAAAATCATTTTTTAATAGTTTAATTATCAATTTTTTAACTTCTAATCATTTTTTTAATAAAATTCTCAAATTATACCTATGTTGATTAGCGATAATTGCAAGTTGTAATGCAGTTAATCCATCATTATTCACTATCAGTTGATTAATCTTAACACTTGATAACAAACGATGAAGCATTGCATCACGAGTTGGTGGCATTTCTTCCATTGTTGATAATATATGAAGTGATGTATTCCCATCATTATCCTTAATCATTTCATTTCTTCTTTATCTTTATTATCATTTTTTTTTCTTTGCCATCCAAATATAGGGAATCTTTTTTTTTTTACTAAAATTATATAATACTTAAATATTAAAATATGTATTATATTGCAGTTATGAAAAAAAGTTTTTTATTGAGAAATATAATGAAAAAAGAAACAAATTAATTTTTCACAAAAATTTGTTAAAGAATTTTTGAAAAGAAAAATTAAATCTGCAAAAAAAAAAAATGTTAGAACAAGAATTATTTTACATAATTTTCAAATTTCATGTTAAAAGTTTATTGATCAATTCTACTAAATAAAATAAATAAACAAAAATGTTTTACTTGTGATTAAAATTAAAATTTAATTTGTTTGATACTGGAATACCTGTTGTTACCTGTATATTTGGATCAATTGTAGGTGCATTTAAAAGTTGATCAATGCAAGATAAATGACCATTCAAAACGGAACAGTGCAGAGCAGTTTCACCTTTGAAATTTTGCCAGTTGATTTCATCAGGGAAAAATAACATTAAACCTTCGATAATTTGTTTATGACCTCTGTAAAGTACTGATAATAAATTCATTCCAAAAAGAAAAAATCCAAATTTCCGAGAAAAAAATTTACTTTAATGTTGCCGAAAAATGAATCAGTATTGCCTAATTTTATTTTGTTTTATTTTTCCTAATAATATTTTCAATAATTTCAATCAACATTTTTTCTTTTTTTTTTTTGTAGAGAAATAACTAAATTTAATTAGTAGATGTAGATACATTATTAAATTATAATTCCATTAATTAAATATTGTTTTAATTAACCAGTAATGGATAAAATTTACTTACTTTTTGGCAGCTATATGATATAGACTATTACCTTCCGCATCAGTAATATTTTTTTCGGCACCAATACAAAGTAATAGAACTACAGCTGACCAAAGGCCTAAGTCAACAGCTAACATCAAAACTGTTTGTCCATCAATAGTAGTAGCATTTTTCTTCAAAAATACCATAATGATAATAAATAATAAATATGAATAAATAATACTAGAGAAAAAAAGAGTGAAGAATCAAAAATAACAGAAAAAAAAAGAAAATTTAAAAGGTTAAAAATTTTATTAACCAATTCTGGATGATAATAAAGTATTAGCCGGAATTGTTTTTCATCACCGGTTTCAGCCCAATAACGTAATGCTTCCATAATATCAGTTACATTTGGTATCACTGATATGACACCAAATACGACGCGTTCCGATGTTCGATTTATATTTGCCAAATGTATTGGAAGATTTCGATCGTGCATTAATGTTGATAAATTACGACCTAATAATTATTAAAGAACAAAAAATGATATAATTTTAATGTTTCGTACTGAATATACACTTTTATTTTTGGATAAAAATTAATTATTCATTTCATGTTTATAAAATATATCATTAAAAAAAAAAAAAAAAAAAAAAGGAAAAAGAAACGAAAAACACACAAAAAAAGCAGTAATTAAAATTAAAAATTCATTGAAATAGAAATGACTAAACAAATTATTAACAAAGTTCATTATAATTAATTAATTATTCAAAAGAAGTTTTATTATGATTATTTATTTTGGTTTATTATTACCTGAATATATAGGTAAAATTACATCATTTAAATTCTCTGATTTTTTCCAAATAAATGATTCAGCATGAGGTAATCGTAATGCAAATGTTTCGTTATCCAAAATACGAATTGATACCATTATTGCATTTTTTAAGTCCTAAAAATTATTATTTTATTTGAAAGAAAACAAAAATAAAAAGGCAAAAAATGCTATAATACAAATAGTATTAATTCTATATTTAATACAACTAATATTATATTATACATTTAAAGTGCTATGATCAAAATTCAACAAAATTAATTTTATTATAAGACAAAACCTTATTTCGAATCATAATTGCTCGATCACCATCTAACATACAAATATTTTGTGCTAACAGAATACTTTTTGGATGCCATGAATATGTCGCTTCAACAACCGTATTTCGTCCTATTTCTGGTTGATTATTTGATGTAATTATTGTTGTTGTTGCAGGTATTGCTGCTATTGTAGTTGTTGTTGTTGCAGTTGTTGCTGTTGTTGTTGTTGTTGTTGTTATACCTTCTGTTACTCCCCAACTAAAAATTGTTACTTGGACGGATTCCATTGTTACATCTTTTACAATACCAACTTTACCAATATACTGAAATTATACAATTATTATTCAAATTAAATTATTGAAATTTTAATTTTTTTCTCCTTTTTTCATTATTTTTTAATGAAAAAAGGAGAAAACCCTTTTCCAATGTTAATTTTTAATATTAAAATCTCACGGTAGCCATACGTGAACTCCATGCTAATTGATTGTAACTATGTAAACGTTCATAAAATGAGAAATCATGATATGCAATACGAACTCGATCACCTTGTTGCATTTTAAATACGAATAGATGATTGAAATTATAAAATATTAAGTTCTAAAAAAAATTGAAAAATAAATATAATAAAATTATCAACAGATATACCATTTACTACCAATTATTAATTTACCAAAAGTAAAATTAAATCAGTAAAATAAAAATTTCAATGTTTATTCAAAATTGTTATTCATTCTTTTTTACATTTCATTGGAGCTTAATTAATGTTGAGTGGATCAAATTTTGAATTAATTAGTTTTTTATCCCACAGAATTGCATTAATTATTTTTTTGCTCAACTGATACCATCAAGTAATCAATTAAGTAACTTTAATTAGTGAAAAAAAAGTTTTGTATTTTAATAGATATTAATAAGCTAAGTATAGTAAAATTCCACTATAAAATACAAAAAAATTTTCGAATTAATTTTTTGAATTTAAAACTTTAGATAAAAAATTTTTTGATAACATTTGTTTCAAATTAAAACAATAATTTATTAATAGATAAAATTTTTACTAGCAAATTGTAACATTTTCTAGCAGTCAAGAAAAAAAAAGACTCTTCCGGCTTTTCCGGTAATCTCTTTTTGTGCAACTTCTCATAATGTTTTTATGCAATACAATTAGTTGTCTAAAATAACTGACCGATGAAATAAAAAATTTTACAATGAAATAATTTCATATTTAACCAATAATTCTATGAGAGAAGCAAAATATTAGATTGAATAAAAAATTTGCATAAAAAAAAATTCAGAATTGAAAGTACGGAAATATTCAAAATTTGCATAAAAATGAAAAAATTTGTTAAAATCAATAAAAAATATTTTCAGTGTCAGTGTATTTCGGTATGTTTAGCGGTTGTTTCTCTTCCGTTTGTTTATTATATTTCAGTTTTTGTTTCAAAGTTTTGTAAAATTATTTATCCAATTTAAAAAAGTTTAAATTTCATCCAGTTTCTTGTATTTTAATTTTGATTAAAAAAATAATCTAACATCTTCAAATTTTTATTACTATTATTTAAAAAGTTCGAAAAATGGAAGCACATAAACAAAGTGTCAATACACAATCGGAAAACGACGAAATAATTGATGAGATGACCAATACATCGGACAGTGATGAGTTAGCAATGCAGGAAGTTTCTCAAGTTTGATTGTTTATTTTACCTTTATAATTAATTAAACTAATTTTTAATTAGAATTTAAATTGAAAAGCTTTTCCAAAATTTTGTTTTTATTGCTAACTTACAGTTAGATAAAAACTGAAGTATATGGAATCCTTGAAAATATGTATATATTAATGAAATATATGCAAGTTGAAATATGTTCAATTAAGATCCTAAAATTTATTATTTATGCTTGTTTAACCACCAAAAAATAGTTTGAGTTTTACAAATTTAATACCACAATTGATTAACTCAATATCATAACTAATTAATCCAATAACATAATTGATTAAAATATAATTAATTAGCTAAATTTCTATTCATCTGATATTTTCTTGTCATAGAAATTTTTTGTAAGTTTTTTATAACTAAAAAATTGTTAATTTAAATAAAAATTTTGCAAATTCCATGAAAATTTGTTGCGTAAATTTTTCTGAAATTTTAATATTTTTTAAACTTTTTTTTGAACTTTTAATTTTGATTGAAAGAACTTTTTTTTTTTGTTAAAATCTTATCTAATCTCTTCATTTATTTATTTTTCCAACAACTCAGGATCATTCAGTAACAACAGCAACTCGTCCAAATTTTGAATCGAATACTTCATTATCAAACCATCCGCTACCATACCATAACCCTATTCATGTAAATTATCATTGATTATTTTATTTTAATTTCCTAAATTTCATCTATTAGCCATTTATTAGCCATTTATGTGTAAAAATATATTATTTTATCTGTGAAAATTTTTAAATTTTCTTTTGTAAGCAAAAATTAAAAAAAAAGCATTTTATTCGTTTTGCAAAAACAAAACAAAAAGAAGAATTTTAAGTTAGCAATACAGCAACCATTAAACGGATTGAATCTTTATCCGGTTTCTTTCACCGATTCTCAATCCGCTTCACTCATCACTGATAATCGTAACGCAGCTAATTATGAAGAAATTTCAACAAATTCTCCACCACCTATAACAATTTCCTTATATTCCGATATACAACGTTCAGCAGCAGCAATTCATGGTGGTTTGTATTATTTATCATTAATTCAGATAAATTTATTGCATCAAAGTGATAGTATTATCAATTAATGTTTGTTTATTTTTTTTTTTTTTTTTAAAAATAAAATCTATTAATTTCAAAGATTAATTTTTACATTTATTTACATTCTTCCAATGTATAAAGTGATGTTAATTTAAATTCCAGATCCTCAAGCTCTTCCATTATCAGTTATACCGTTAACTGATTATCCCGAGAATGAATATATGCCTCCGCCGTTTAGAGCACCCGTATTATCAGTTCCAACTTCAAATACTACAAACAATAATTCTTCTGAACCAATGAATTCATCGTTACAACAAACAATTACAAACATTCAAACAGCTGCAAAAGGTAATAATAATAATAATTATTAGTAGTAGTAACAGTGATAAAACACTCAAAATTCTATCATAATCTATTTCGGATACTATTGTAAAATGATTCAGACAATTTAATCTATTTGTTAAAGCTTCAAAAAACATTACCTAAGAAGATTAGCTGAAAAAAAAAGCAATCCGACTTAGCAGTTGCAATGATATTTTTGCAATATGGCAGTCAATTAAAGATATTAGGAAAAAATTTTTACTAATTAAGTTTGAAATTTTTGGTATCTCTTCTCATTTCATTGTTTCGTTTCATTGAATTATATTATAATTGAATTTACTAAGAAATTATACTTTTAATTAAAGTATGTATATGTGTTTTCCATTTTTTTAACAGGTGAATCAATGCAGACAGTTAAAAAAGGAGGTCGTAGACGTTTAAATGAAAATGCATGTGGAAATTTGGCGAATAATACGCCTGAAACTTTGGCACCAAAAAAACGTGGAAGAAAACGTAAAGATGGCAGTAATGATATTATTGGTGGAAAAACGAAAGATACTTTACAGAAGGTAATAAAATAAAAAATTTTATAAAAAAAGAATTTTCAACTTAGATAAATAAAAAGTAAAAATATGTAAGAAAAATAAAAAGATGGGAAGATAATATTAAACAAAATTATGTAAAATTAATTCATAAAAAATATGCAAAAAATAATTATTGCATTTTATGAAATATAAACAATATTTTAAGCCATATAAATGTTAGAAAAATATTTCATATTTTAATTTGAATTTTCGTTACTAATCAATATATGTTATTACCATGTTTTCAAGATCAGTAACTAACAAAATCCATGTTGATTTCATTTTTAGAACATATTCATTGATTATAATTAACAAATTGAAAAAATATTAGCCAAGTTTAAGTATGTCCCACTCACAATAGCAAACAAATATTCTGCTACTAACTTATTGATGCATATTTTAAAATTTTTCACAAAATAATTCATAATTTTGGCTAATAGAATTAAAAAAAAATAAGAATAAAACCAATAATTCATACTTTTTATCATCACAGTGAAAAATTTGCTTATGGCAAGTCAATATTGTGTTTTTTTTAAACTTTAATTACTTCATGATAACATAATATTTAAGGCCTCTCGTCAATCGATCAATGCTAGTAAATTGGAAAATAGTGAAATGAATATTGACAAAGCTCCGAGTAATGAAATTTTATTAATTTCAAGTTTTTTTTTTTTTTTTATTTCTAATATCTACACTAACATCATAGTTAAAGAGCTTAAATCATAAAATAAAATGTATCACTTCAAATATTTATATGCCATGCTTGTTGACATATTAATTAAACCACCTAATTATGATTATAACATTTCAGTTAACATTATTTCACAATAATTATTTGGCAAAAAAAAATGTAACGAACTTTGCAGAGCGAAATTCTGAAATTTCAAATCAATCACTAAATGCAGTTGCGGAATTAGAAAATGTTAATGCGGAAGAAAAAAAGAAGAAAAGACGTCCTCGTAAGAAAATCGATGAAAAATCTGATGAAACGATTGATGATACGACAAATGATACGGTCATTTATGAAATTCAGAATCAAAATTTAATGATTTATATTTTATTATTGTTTAATGTTATAAAGTAATAAATTTGCAATAAGTAAGAAAAAAAATTCTTCTCCATTTTTATTTAAACATAAAATTATGCAAATTTCTTAATTTTCAGAAAAATTTTAATTTTAGAAGAAACACGGTTCAATAACCAAGAAATCATCAGCTGCAAAGAAAGAAAGCATGGAAGAATTGCTGTGTAAACAAAAAAGTCGTATGGCATTTCCAGTATGAAATTTTAAAATTATGATAGTTATTGAAATTTGTCAAATGTGTATGTTCTCAAATCAAATATGTTCTTTTTTAGTTTACTTAATTTGAGAGTAATTATTATTTCATAAGTCTTTTCCGGAAATAATATTGTAAATGTTATTTTAGAAAGGTACTTTTCTAATTCGATACTGCGATTTGGAAACATTGGACTGTGATCAAATTTGGTGTGTAGACAATCATCATATGCTGCTCAAATATCGCCTTTCTTCACATATTGAAGGAAAACGTCGTCTGTATTTGAAATCTCAACCTGAACGAGTAAATTTCGAATGGTTGAATGAAATTATTAAAATGAGAACAAAAATTTATGTATACTAAATTTTAGCTAAAATATTTATGTTGTGTAGCATTCAGTTCATGATAATTAATATTATATTTTTAGTTCATTGGTTGGAAATGTGAGGAACCGTGGCATTTTTATGAATTGACGATTCTTGAACGTGATCGTGACGGTAGCAAAGTATTGGTACTGTATCCGGAAGCCAAAGAATTAGCGGAATGTCGTGAAAAAGCAAGACGTCAGAAGCAAATTGCGGAAGAAATGAAACGAGGTTTGGGGACGTCACGTAATTACGGTGATATCAAAGAAGATTTCGATGTAACAGAAGAAAATCTAGTAAAACAAACGGTCAATTTTTTTTTAACATTCTTTTACCTAAGAGTATTTCTTTCAATTACTTAATTACTAATTAACGTCAGAATAAAAACAGTAATGTAATGCAATATTAGTAATAATAATAATAATAATATTAAACAAATAAATAGTTAGAAGTAATAGAGATTTATATTACTTTTTTTAAGAATTATTATTTTTTTTCTTCGAGAGAGATATGAATGTAAAGAAAATAAAAAAGCAAGATAATAAAGAATTAAATTTTCAAAATTTTTAGGATATTAAAGATCGACTTTTGCATAAAGAGGAGAATATGGAAGTTGAAATGGTTGATGAAGCAGAAAAAGCAGTTGAGCGTTTCATTCTGATTCCGGATAGTGAATACACTGAAACAAATGATGAACATTCTGGAGAGGAATTTAGTATCGAAAATCCTATGGAAGAAGAGATTATCGTTACAGAAGACGAAGAAGATGAATAATAATATTAATTTTTTGTTTCATAATTATCTGCAATAAAATTTTTTTTTTATTTACTTCTCTTCTTCAATTATTCTAATTAGTAATTGTATTTAAATGAATTATTACATTTAAAATGCAGATGTTTACATGTAAAATATATATTATAAGGTAGTAATAAGGACGAATTATAAATATATGCTATATTTCTTTTAAAAAAAGATTAGTTCTTATCATTAAATATATTTTGATTAACAAAAATCAAAATTTTTTCTGTTCTTAAAAGTAATTTAAATTTAGGGAATGAAACAAAAAGAAAAAACGCCGCTTGTTTAAATACTTTCTTATTTCTTTAATTTCTTCCGCCTTACAATGATGCGATAAGTTTAAGTAACAAAGTGCTGCAAATACAATTCACCAAAAATTTAATTCTTTATTATCGTACAGAAGTTTAAATTATGAATGATTTATTTCAAATAAAAATTTTTGTTGGTATCAGAATAATCACATGTAATGAAGTGATTCGAGTAATATATTAAATATAAGATAACAACTTTTCTTTTTCTAATTAGAATAGATTAAATTATCAGTTTTTTTCATGTTAATAATCCATGAAGGACTTGGATTAAGTGATGGAATTTACCATATTTTGAAAAAAGAATGATTTACTGATATACGCATAGCACATGGATAATTTGATATGAGTAAGATAAGATGTAAAATAAAAGTTTAAACTTTTAAGGCTTTTTTTCTAGATTAGATTAGACCGAATCAATAATGCATTTTCATAACAATACTGAATCAATAGTACATCCTTACATTTATCAATACTTTCCGGTTTTCTTAATCTTATCATCCTATCTGTCAGAAAGAAAACAAAAGAAATTAGTGGCAAAGTGGGAAAATGAGTAGCTAACTCTTTTTAAGGGTACTAATGGGATGATATTAGATAAAACACTAATATTTAGACTAACCAGATAGACTACTTCTATCACTAATTTATCATTTCAAAATCTGATTTCTGAGGATTTTTTTCTAGATTAGATTAAACCAGATCAATAATACATTCTGATTTTTTTTTTTCAATATGGTTCCAAAAACTTTTTTAACTATCATATTAGTCAACAATTATTAATCTAAGGAATATACTAATGAAATATAATGCAATACAGTACACTATGATACAGTACGAAATGATACAGTATAATACCGTATGATATGAGAAGATATGATATAATATCATGCGGTATAATTAAATTGATAAAGTTTATTACTGCTTTCAATAGTGTGAAAATCACTAATATACGAAGTGCGACTTAAAAAGGATTACTACTTTTATGCCGCGAAGATTATTTTATTAAATTTTATGGTGGGGAAATTTTTTTATTGTATTATACGGCGAGGATTATTTTATTTTATTATATGACAGGGATTATTTTTTTTATTATTGTTTGAATAGAAATTATGCATATAAATAGAATGTACGTTTGTTCAAAGTTGCTAGAAAATATTTAACTTTGATTTATATAACTAATTTTTTTATAAATAAATATTAATCACTATATGGTAAACCATTAATTATAACAGTTTTGTAAAGGTTTTTTTTTTTTTTTTTTAAAAAAAAAGACGCTCTAGATTTATCAGATTTAATTTTTTCCTTCTTTTCATTAACTATACAAAACTTGGTTGCTAATTAAATAATCAAATTGCAAAAATTTTAGTGAATTCTTCCAGAAAAAAAAAACTAAAGAATTTTTGGCTAATAAAATTTTATTATCGCTATGCTTTTATTTCATTTTTTGCGAACAAGAAAATAGAAATACAAATTCAGTAAGAAGCATATCAATCAAAATTTTTATTTTCTTTCCTTTTGTGATTATTCAGATTCTTTCATTCATTTTAAATCCATTTCTGTTTCTTTTTTTTTTTTCAAATTTAGTTCTTTTTTCTTGAAATCCAACTGCTTTTTGTTTTTTCTTTTTTCAGGATTATGTGGTCGTTTTCTTTCCTAGTATATTCAATTTTTACATTCATAACATTGATGATGTTAAGAGGTAAGATAATTTTACTCTTTCTTTCTCGTTTTAAATAATATATATAATTAATGCTTCATGTTAAAATGATTTTATTTTATGATGAAGAAATAATAAAAAAAAGCTTTTAATATTATTATCATAAAAAAATTAAAAATATTATCACTTCCGATCATCATAAAAATTATCATTAAAAAATTACTTCCTACTATTTAAAATGTTTTTTCTTTTTAATTTAAAAGATTTTTATTTAAATTGGTAATTACCATTAAACATTTGATGCATATCTTTAGAGAGAAAAAAAATTGAAGGAAAATTAGTAGAAGGTGATTATTTATCAGTAATATGAAAAATATCAATAATTACATTATCAGTGTAAAATATCGATAGCTATGTTATCAGTGATGATAACTTTATCAATCGTTAACATTTTTAACAATGACCTTCAAAACATTGTGACAGATCTTTGTTACTATTTAGCTGCCAATATCATAGATATGAATGCAATAAACTGAAAATTTGGGTAAATAATTTCTTTCGTTCATTTTTTTGATTCATTCATTTTCGTTTTCATTCGTCTCAATAAAAATTTCTATTTGAAGAAAATTTCGATTCCATCGAAGAATTTACATCAGATATTTCTCCAACCACTACTATATGGGTATGTCATATTTTTAATTACAGATGTTTATAAATTTTTTTTTTTTTTATAAATATTACTCATTTTGATCAAAACCATATGAAGCATAATGTTTTTAAATCATTGAAATAATTTCAAATTTGATAGGTGCAATATTTTTTAATGAGTCATATAATACTTTTAATAAAAATAAACTTTATATAATAGTTCAGAAGCAAAAAAGAAATGAATGAATAACTACAGAAAGATAATGGAAATGGAATAAAGTTATTGTATAATAAAGAAATTGGAATTTTTAATGATAATTGCAACAAAGGAATGAATATGGAAGGTATTCTGAAACCTGTGGAAAATACACTTTTCGAATTTGTGCGCTTTAAAATTGCAATTATTTTCATTATTACTTTTTTTTTTCCCGTTTATTTATTTGCATTCGATTATTGCATCTGACAGAAATGATTTATCGAGGAAAAAAAAGAGAAAGAAAATAGTTTATTTAAGAATACAAGAAAAAAAATTAGCTAGGAGGATGGAAAATTTATGGAAAAAATGAGATATGATTTTTTTTTTTTTTTTTGCACCATAAATTTTTATTTTTTATTAAACAGACTGAAAGTTATGGAATTGGATTGAATTAATTAGGCTAGTCGATTGAAAGTTAGATAAATATATATATATATATGAATTTTTGTGTGTAAAAAAAAGTTCTACTTGTTTCTACTCGTTAAATCAATTTTCAGTTTCAACATCGTTATGTGTCTTCGGGTGAGATCGATCGATTTTTAGTTGAAATGAAAATTATCAATGGATTTAGCTAAGTTTTATGGTCAGGAAAGCACAAAAAAAAGTAAGAAATTAATGTGATCATTCCAGTTATTTTATAATTAAAAATATAATATTTTACAATAACAGGAAGAAAGGTATGCCATAAATATGAAATAATTCAAATCAAAAAAAAAAAAATTCCGATTTTGGATTTTAACCTGTTTTAAATAAAGTGAACGTCAAAATACTGCATTATTTTGCAGTGCAAAATTGAATATAACTGAAGAAATTTTTAATAATTTACGATTGAAAAAAAAAGCAACGAAACTTTTCCTTCATGAATTTGGATATTAAATTCTTTGTTATATTTTCTAAATTTCAGTAATACACATAAAGGACACTTAAGAATGATCGAAACAGTTATCGAATGGATGAAATAACTTATACTAATGTTAAATTAATTAATGAATTACTGAAAACATATGTTTATTATTTGCTTATCAGAAGTTTTGTAGCTAAATAACTTTTATTTTAATTAATTATTTTAGAGGAAAATACTAATTAATTGCATGCTGTTTTCTTCGTTTTTTTCTTCTTGAATGAATAAATTAGTTCTTTTTTAGAATAAATAAAGTAAATAGTAATAAATTTTTAAACAATTTGCAAAAACACTCAAAAAACTGAATATTTTTTCTCTCTTTTTTCAACGTTATATTTAAATTAATAGTGAAAATGCGATATATTGCTTGCAAATTTCTTTATGAAATTATCAGATAAAAGTTATCAAAAAGAAAGCAAAAAAAGGAGCTTTGTGATGAAAAATTATATTAGCAAAATGTAAATATGAAGTGATTTTAACTGCAATTTTTTTTTTTTTTTTTTTTTTTTTTCATTATTGCAAAAATGACTGAAATTAGAAAGTACAGAAAAAAAGAGAGAGAAGAAAACTGAGAATGAAAATGCAAATAAAATAGCAGTTTTGATGGTATTTTTGTTTGGTTTAATTGGATGAAATGGATGAATTAGATTTACTTTTCTTAAATGTTAAATGTGATTGAAGTAATAGAAGAAAGAAAGAAAGAAAGAAAGAAAGAGAGAAAGAAGGAAGGAATAGAACTTTTTCTTATATCATTTTTGGATTTTGTTAAAGGCGAATATAAGGATGAGACGAGAAAAAAAAAATAATTTGAATGTTTCAGTTTCTTTTAGCTTTCATTTCTTATTTTTTAGAAGTTTTATTCTTTCAATTAATAGCAATTTTAATTTTATATTGCGAATAAAAGTGCGAATAAAATTATTGTGAAGGAATAAATCTGTAATAAAATGGAAATGGAAAATTTACATTTAGAGCATATATGTATGAATTAATCTTTCATTTTTATTTATGGTTAATGTTTAATTTGAACGGATGTGGAACTTTGCATTTTGATTCGATTTGTGATATTTGAATTATTATTTCATAAATGTTGGAAGTAATTATCGCTCGTACTTAAAACCATTAATCGATAATTAATAATATTTGCAATTAACAATCATTAATCATAAAATCGCTGGGAATGATAATTTGAGTTTTTTTTTTTTTTTTTTTTTCATTTAAAATAAGCAATTTCATTTCTTGTTTTTAGCATACCTTTAACTGTTATTATCACATGTTTAACTGATAAAAGTACTGTTAAAACTTATCAATATGACTGATCAAAAAAAAAACAAGGTAACACATATAAGCATTTTACTATTTCTTTACTAATTTTAAAAATTCATTTCTCCTTACTTAAACAGTTATTCCATTATTCCATCATTTTATTTTATACCTTTACTGATTTGCTACAAATTAAAAATTATTTCAAACTTATCAAACTGTCATTGCTTTTTGAAGTTGTAAATAAAAAGGAGAAAATTGAAATGTTTCTATCTATTTAATTATTAAATGACAAATCAAATTAATTTCTTTCCATCATTTTCTTCTCTTATAATTAATCTATTAAGATTTTCTCTAATTAAAATCTTCATTATGAGTTTTTCCTTCACTGCTCTGCTCCTCATCTAATTAATTCTCTCTCTCTCACTTCCTCTAATTAACTTTTTTATTATGATTTAACCTAATTCTCCTGCAATCATTTTGCAAATTATCCCTAATTCATTAATTTAAATGTGAAATAATTAAGATTTAATGAAAACAATTGAACTATAAATGTAAATATGCATTTGAAAAAAGAAAAAAACGATATAAAAACAGACAAAAAAAAATGTGGGCGGTAAGAGGTCGAGAAGAGGAGAAAGACATGGTGTATATATATGGGGCGGTAAGAGGTCGAGAAGAGGAGAAAGACATGGTGTATATATATGGGGCGGTAAGAGGTCGAGAAGAGGAAAAGGAAAGAAAAGGAGAGGAAAGGGAAGGAAAAAAAGGAAATACGAAGAGTCCCAGTTTTTCTATTTCTTCAATAAATTGGGATTGAGTGGTGGAGGAGAAAGTATTATTGGATTGCATAAAAGGATGGATGGATGAGAAGGAAGAGGAAAAGAGGAAGGAATTAGAGTTTGTGATGTGAATGAAAAAGAAGGCTTTTCCTCCTCCTTCCTTCCTCCTTCCTTCTTCCTTCTTCCTTCTTCCTTCTTCCTCCTTCCTTCTTCCTTCTTCCTTCTTCCTTCTTCCTCCTTCCTTCTTCCTTCTTCCTTCTTCCTTCTTCCTTCTTCTTTCCTTCCTTCTCCATTTTCATTTTCTTCTTCATCCACTGAAATCTATCGCTGCCGTCGTTCTTTCTGTTTGTACAAACTGAATTAAATTAATGATTAAAATAAACGAGGAAATTAATTACTCGTTTATTGTTCCATTTTTTTAATTTTGTTGTCGTATTTCATTTGTTAGCATATATTGGAATTTTGATAGTGCAAGTTTAATTAATTAATTATTTCATAGACTAATTATTTCAAAAGACTTCTTATTTTGTATTATAAATGTTTTAAATATTTGAATAAATTATTGGTAGACTGTGTGCATGTCTGGTCTGTCTGTCTGTCTGTCTATGTATGTGGAATAAATCGATATAAAATTTTTGACTGAATGAATAAGTTTTGGCCCAAAATATTTAGGCTTAGATATCAAAAATAAATCATTTATTGTGTTATATGTGCTGCAAAAAGAAAACGTGACACTGCTTCACTTGTCACACACACACACACACACACACACACACACACACACACACACACACACACACACACACACACACACACACACACACACACACACACCCACACACACACACACACACACACACACACACACACACACACACACACACACACACACACACACCACACACACACACACACACACACACACACACACACACACACACACACACACACACACACACACACACACACACACACACACACACACACACACACACACACACACACACACACACACACACACACACACGCAACTGTGAAAATATCATCTGGTGGTGTCGTAAGTGAATTATATTGTGTCACGTGTACCACGTCATTATTATACATTGTTATTATCCTTAGATAAAATAGTCAGCCTTGAGAATATGTGAAATCTTTGAGTTTATTAATAAATCATTAAGGTATCCATCGAGTTACTGAAGTGAAAACAATACGTAAGGCTATAATATATAATATACGTTACGTGTAAAGGTGAGTCAAAATGATGAGAGAATGTGAAAGAGATAAGGTGGGATATGCTTTGAATTGAATGATAGCAATTAAATAGCTGTAATAAGCCGTATGTTAAGTTTGTGAAAGACAGAGCTGGCATCTCATCTTTACATTTATTTCTTCTGTTTGCTTGAATTATTCATTATTACATTTGACATTACGATTATTTGTATGATATTATAACCACTGTCGTTATTATTATTATTAGTATTATTATTTATTATTATTACTATTAATTTACTGTAATTAATGTTTAGTAATATGACGATAGTAATTTGATAATAACAAATTACTAATGCATTATTTGTTCTTCAAATAATTTAATTTAATATTGCATTATTTGTTGCAGATAAAGATTAATAAGAAGGAAAGAAAAAAATTAAAACGTTTGTTTGGATGTTTCAAAAATTTGACTCTAACACGGCAGTATTTACCTAGTTAAGGATTTAGTACGAAAGCACCTTAGATTAATTAAGGGTCTAACATTAACATTTTAGCATTAGAGGAAGGAGGAAAGATTTTTAAAAATTTCATCATAAAGAGGAAGATTTTTAAACTTATCTTTTGAATAACTCTGATGAGTCATTTACTATTTTGACCAGAAAAAAATTAATTGATATTACTACGACTGCTGAGAAATTTCAAAATGATTAATTAGAAAGACTTGATAAATTACTCTCTTCTTTCTTTCTTTTTCTTTTGCCGAGATTATTATATTAATTATATAGATATATATAATATAACAGTAGACTATATGTAATTATTTATTAGAAATATTAGTCTTATAAATATTTAAACAGTTAAATTTTTAATAAATTAATTCGTCTTCTTTCCTCTGCTGTATTTCTCTTTTTCCCTTAATTTTCACTATTATTTCGTATTTATTTTGTATACTTTGCAGAACAAATTTTTTTTTTTTCATTTTCAAATGTATTCTCTCTATATTTTAGCTAATAAAATTCACTCATTTTGTTACCAAAATAGGATTTGTTGTTTACTGGAGTGAATTATTCAGCGTATTCATTTCTATTTACTCAAATCTTTTAATCAACTATTAACATCTTCTCTCTCTCTCTCTCTCTCTTTTCTTCCTTCCTTTCTTCATTTTATTTTCTCTCTCATCTCATCTTTTAGCTTCTCATCTTTTTTTTTTCATTTTTTAAAAAACTTTTTATGTTATATTTGAACTGGTTGTAGTAGTATTCCGTTAATACGTGTAATATTCGTCAATTGCACGCATTACGCGTGTCTCCGTGTAATGCGTGCAATGCATTAGTAACAATACTGAAATCAAAATTTAATAAATTCACATTTCAAAACAGTATTTGTTCATTTTATTCATTTTTCACCCAAACATTCCTTCTGCTACTATGTCACATGGCATGGAAAATATCATAGAAAAAGACAAGAGGTCAAATGACATTGCTATTATTTGAAGAGAAACGTTTTATTATTGTTATTACTATTATTATTACTATATTATTATTTATTTATTTATTATTGATATTATTTTCACTATCATTATGCTTATTATTATTATTATTATTATTACTGTTATCATTAAATTATTATTATTTAATATCAGTTATATTTATAATTCTAAAATAATATTTAATCTATTGTTTACCTTCATTTTCCATTTTATTAATTAATTAATTAATTAATCAACATGCTACTACATATCAATTAATGGTTATAAATCACTGTCCCAATGTATGAATTAATTTAACAATTAATCAATGTTTTCTGGTATATCAATTAATCAATATATTCCAATGCGAATTGAATATGAAACAAAATGAATAAAACAAATAATTATCGTTTAGGCTTTTTTTAATTGCGCGTAATATCAGTACAGAGATTTATTAACAAATATATAGAAGTTAATCACTTTTGACTTTATTCTTATTTTTTGAATTTACTTTTCATCTTTTTTTATTGTTTTACATTCATCTGAATTATCTTTATATGATGGAAAGTTAGTTATATATTTGTAAATTCTTAATAATTTGTGAAGTATTGGTGAATTGTCATTCAAAAATTGCTCCAAATATTTCTAACAATTACTTACTCACTCACTCGATCAATCAATCAATCAATCAATCAGTCAGTCAGTCAATCGATCAATCAGTCAATCGGTCAGTTAAATGAAATGATGAAATTTGAGTGTGTGAAGTTACTGTCATCTTTGAATTTTGTTTGCAATTCATCAAAGCGATCACTTCACCAATCATTTTGAACTTTATAAATTTCTTAAAAACTTTTTTTTTTCAATAAGAAAAAAAATGGAAGACGAAAAAAAAAAGACATCTGCTAATTCATTATCATCGAAGCAGAAATAAAAAATTGAACTGGCATCTATTATCATCTACTGGAATAATTAGTATGATTTTCTTGTCTTGTCTTTTTCTTTTGTTTGAGAAAAGAAAATGAAATTAAATTCATTTTTGAAGATTATTACGAAAAAATGATTATTTTTTTTTTAAAAAAAAGCACGCAGAATTTAGATATAATATTTGCAGTAAGAAACAAATTTATTAACAAGATTCTATTAGAAAAAAAATTTTAGTATTTTAAAAAAAATAAAATAAGCTTTGATTTTTTTTTTTTGTAAAAAAAATATTACATTCTTAATTTCTCATATATTTCAAAATTGAAAACATAAATGTGCAATACTAATGAATTACACACTATGTTTGGTCATTATTCAAGTTATTAATTTTCTGTTTAATATACCTCTTTCTAATGAATATTTTTCTCTTTTTGTCCCACTCTCTTGTACCATTCATAATTTATTGATTGAAAGTAATATGAAATATTATTTGATTTTATAAATTGCAAAAAAATAAAATTAAATTTTGAAATTAATTGATTTCATTTTATGTTTTATTTCACGATTTTTTTCCTTTTTTTTTACATCACACAACTATTTCATATTATCGTTATCATTAATTTAATTTAATTGACAGTAATACTTTTATTCGTTCTCTTCAGAAAATCTTTGAACTCCTCTCTCTCTCTCTCTCTCCCTCTCTCTCTCTTTCTCTTTCTCTCCCCATCCTTGTTAAGAAATGATGGCAAGGAAGATATTCAAATTCCACTCGCTTTTTTATGTAACCTTGAGGATGATGTAAACATTATTGCCCCTGTCCCCTTATCGTCGCTCTACTTTTCTTCCTCGTCCTTCCCTTTCACCACGCTTCTCCGCGTCTCTTCATCCCGTGTCTGTCTCTCCCACGCGTCTCTTCCTCCCGTGTCTCTTTCACGCGTCTCTTCCTCCCGTGTCTCTTTCACGCGTCTCTTCCTCCCGTGTCTCTTTCACGCGTCTCTTCCTCCCGTGTCTCTTTCACGCGTCTCTTCCCCCCGTGTCTCTTTCACGCGTCTCTTCACATTCCCATCCGTTTCTCATCTTTCATTTTCTTGTCCAACACCAATTATGGCTGTAATCCAATGTCTTTCTATCGTAGCATTACGCATTAGAATTATATCAGCCGAAATAGGCCATTTTAATTTACTTTTTACAATTAAAAAAAAAAAAAGAAGTTGGGAAAGTTTCTCATTTCTTTTTCTTTTAATTAAATTTAACAAATATATATTAATAGTTATCTTTGCATCAGTAGTCATTATATACAAACTTATTATTTTTTTGGTTAATAGAAATGTTAATTATACGCTAAGAAAATATTTATTTTTCGTCTTTTATTTCTTAGCAAAATATTGTTTCAATAATTTTATCTTTTCTAATCGTGAAAGATCTTTTTTTTTTTTTTTTGTTTACAATTAGATTTATTATATAAATTATAAAATTTTTAAAAAATATTTTGCAAAAAATTTACCACGGTTTTTTTTTTTTATTTTTTAAATATTAATGTTAGTAATAAAAACATAAATGAAATTGATCGTTCTTTTTTAAAGTAGAAATTTTTTTATTAGAGAATTACTGAATGTTTTCTTTTTTCCCTATTTCTCATTTATAACTTTTATATTTTTATTTACTGATCAGTTTTTTGTAATTTATGAAGTTGGAGAAAATATCTGAAATTGAAAATATCAATAATAATTTTGAAATGGTTCAAAAAGTAGTACCACTCGATGAATGTTCAGTTGTTTTCCTCCATTTAATTACTCATTGTTTGTTTAATACTTTTTTTTAAAGAAAAAAAAATCGTTGCGTCCACTGTGAAAATTTCTTTTATTAGTTCTGTTGTGAAAATTAATTGCTAAATTAAACAGCTTCAATTTTTCAACTTTAATTTTAACATAGATCTTATTTTATTGTCAAATTCTTTCAAAAAAGTAAAAAAAAATGAGCTAATAATTAAAATTATGGACTCATTAACTGATAATTGATATCTATGTTACGATTAAATCAAAATAGTTATGAATTAATTTATACAAATTTCTTTTTTCTTTCTTTATCAGCATTTTACAAAATTATATTTTCAAATTTTGAAAAATCATAGAAATATTGGAAATGGTAAAATATATTCCTTTTTTCCGACTTGTAAAATCGTTTAATTAATTTATGTTCCATAACTGTTCGATTATTCTGAGTAATATAATTACTTAAAGTCCCAAAATTTCACTAATTCTGGATTATTTCATAGTTTTAATATTAATAAGATTTTGATATTTTAGATTACTTCTAAATTGGAATGCTAAGAGTATTTGAAACAGGTAACGAACTAAAGGAAGCCGAACTGTTAACCAGTGATTCAGTCTTTCTCCTACCAATACATTATTCCATTCGACATGAACGTTTGGGCGTTTTTCCGGAAGCAAAGTGTACAATACTAGGATATCCGGAAAAATCGCCATTCATATGGATGGTGATACGACGCAACAAGTTTACAAGGTTATTTGCAGGGAGAAAGTATAATTCAATTTTTAAATTTATGAGACATTTTCCAGATATTTTTGTACAACTTAGTTTATAATGTTTTATGAAATTCTTTCTTTTTGTTTTTTCTCCCATATTTTGATAAATGAAAACATTTGCACATTTTCATTTTCATTATTTTCATATTATGCATACATGTATATCTTTTTTTTTTTCCTCTGGTATTATTGTCTTTATTGGTTTTTTGGGGGTTTTTTTATTTTATTTTATTTTTATTTTCTTTTAGATAGAATAAAACTACGTAAGGTTTTCAAAAGTTATGTTTGATCGAATAGGCATTTGATTTTAGTGAAGAAAATGGGAACAGCGGAAAAAGGAAAAGAAATCAAAGGAGAAAAAGGAGGAGTGTATAATTGACGTGAATTCGTGAAAATAATGGATGATGAATATAGGAGCAGGAAGGAGAGATGAGGGGAAAAAGGTGATCGAAGAGGAAAAAGGAGATGGATGTATACAGGTGAGCTTACTTTAGGGCGCACGTGTTCGTATGCAGTCGTATGCAACATTTTATCGATATCGACGATATCGACGCATTCTTCATTCATACAATTCCACATCTACTCAAATTAGATCAATTTTCTGCCCGAATTCTTGGCATACATTTGAGCAGGTTTTTTTTTCAATTTTTTTATTGAAATTTTTTATTGTATTTATTATCTTTTAATTTATTATTTCATAGTTATTTTATTGAATAAAATGTTTTAAATTTAAAAAAAGATATAAAGAAATTTTAGTTACATTTAAAAATTTATTTTTATTTCTAAGGTTTAAAAATCCTTGAAAGAATTTATAATTAATTTGCTTTTTCTTTTAATTTATTCATATAATTTTAGTCGAATGACTGAACTACTTTCAACTCATTTTGATTTCTCAGCTCCAAGCTATCTCTCCAGTTATTTCATCATAGATAAACATAAGCAAAGGCAGATTATCGATATGGATATTAAACTTGCTGAAGGTTATTCATTTATGGAACTCGATCCAAAGGTTTGTTTATTATTAATTAATTATATTAATAAAGTATTAAATTCATACCAAATAACAGTATAGTTTTTTTTTTTCTGTTACAACCATTAAAAAATTCTTCATTATAGCGTCATGCTGATACGATAACAAACTGTTGGAAATTTTCAACACATGGTGAACGTGATCAATTTGAAGCAAAGATTCGTCGTTTACCATCAGTTGGTGTTCAAAGTCATGATGGAACATTGGTATCATTTACCGTTCTAGACGCTTCCGGATTTTTCAATAATCAGTTTACATTTGTGGAACATCGTCAACGTGGGTTAGCTGATCGAAGTGAACTGAAATTATGCCAAAAAGTTTGTTTTTTCTTCTTTTGTATTGAGTTTAAAAAAAAAAAAAAAAAAAAACATGCACTGATGCATATTTTATTGCCTATAATGTAACTTAATTAATTTTTTTTATTGGTAGGTTTATTTTGCATGAAATTCATCTCAAACTATATGAAAGAATGTAATTGGATTTTATGATAACTTTCATTTTCCAATCGATGAATAATCTAATGGGAAAGAATTTAGATGCATTGAAAAATATCCAATTTCATTCATTTTTATTTTCTATTTCATTTGCTCTATTTATCAATAAAAGTTAGTGGTAGTGTGATAGAAATTGTATATTATTTTTTTTCCAACTGCAGGTAATATCATTTGGATTGCATCCGATGAAATTTGTTGAGCATGAAAATACGGCAGTTCTTGATCGTTCATGCCGATCACAGTGGTGGAGTACTGTCAATGATGAAACTGGCATTCCGGTTATTAACGATCATCGCGTTGTCTATCGACGAATATCATCACACTTATAAAACTAGCTTGATTTTGTGAAAATTTTAGTATATTAAGCTATGGGATGTATGAAAATTTTAACTTAATGATGAATTTCAATTTTTTTTAACTTTAAAATTAAATTTATGTGGGATACTTGCAATTAAATTACACATGATTGTCATCGTCATCATCATTTCATTCAGTTTTTATGATGGTATTTTGAGTTTTGAACTGTGTGGTATATTTTGCATAAAAATTTGTAAAAAAAAAAAAAAAACTATGCCATTTTATCATAAATAGCTTTGAATAATTATGCATATCATTTTGAATCGAATATTTTTGCTTCTTCCATTCATACATTCGTGAAATATTTTCATTGTTTTACTGTTTTTTTTTTTATAATTATTGATTACATTTCAAAAAAATAAAAATAACATCAAATTTGATGTAAAAATTATCCCCAAAAGCTTACTGTAATTTAATGCTAATGTCACATGCAATATGTTGATGTTATCATTATTTATTTAATTTAATCATTTCAATCATTCAAATATTTGTTTGCATCCAAAAGCTAACATATTTTTGTTTTTTCTTTACACACTGTCAATTTTCTTTTTTTCTTTAAAAAAGAATTTTTACAGAGAGCTTAGTAATACGCCATTGTTTGTTATGGATGCAAATTATAACAGAATGGTTTATTCTTTTCCGAAAGTATGTAAAGTTTAAAGATGGCGTTATTGATTGATTGCTTTTTTTCACTTTTTATTCAATATATATATATATAAATGTGTATATTCCTTTTTGATAATATGGTATTTGCTGCTTTTTTCCTTTTTATTTGTTGAAACTGTTTAATAAAATTCGTTATCAGTTATTGATTGGTAAAATTAATCTTTGCAATTTTACATAGTGTAATTTTGTTGGAAAGTTTTACTTACAATGTTTTGCAACAATCAAATAATTGGCTCTTTTTATTGTTAAATAGCAATAGAATTCTCTCTTAAGTAGAAGTAGAATGATTAGTATTGCTGTATCATAAGAAATGTGAAATTGGGTTAGTATAATAATTTAGTTCTCTTATGTGATATAGAATTTTAGTCTTCTAAATTTGTAAATATTGTTAGTAATTAATGAAGTATATAAATTGGATATAATTTTTTCAGATTTTTGCCGAAGTATTTCAATGAAATTAAAATTAGTATATTTATATTTTAAACATTTAATTTCGCGTAACTTTTTGTGGAATTTGCGTAAGCCATCAGCGCTAGGAAATGATGATGCTGCGACAAGCTTTGATCGACCATATTCATCACATTCCCATTGATCTGGTAAACTCTGGAAAAAAAGAAAATTTTTAATTTCTTACGGAGGAATCTTTCTTGTAACTATTTTTACGTTGAGAACAAAATAAATTTCGAATAGTTCTTTCATATAATATCAGAATATTTTAGGAAATCGTTCCAGTATTTTTTATTCAGATCTGGCAAGTTTGAAATAACTTCAATTTTTCATTTCAAAATGATGAATTGCTGTAGAATCCTTTTAACCTGAACGTTATCTGCGGAATACATGAAATCGATATTAACACGTTTAACATCCGCAATTTCCGCAACAATTCCTGTGTAAAAAATATCTTCCAATTTTAACCATATAACTGTCGGTAATGTCCGCCATATTTTTTGGAATGCTCCGAATGGTATAATATACATCATACCAGGCGCAAATGGTGGATAAAAGTTTCGTAAATAACATTCATAAGGCATGTAACTAAAACATCAAATATTTAATTAATTTAATATTGTAATATTTAAATTCTATTACAACAAAATAAAAAAAAAAAAAAACATTTAGTAAAAAAAATTCTTTTTTCTCATATTTTTTTTGATAAAAAAATAAAAAAAAACGACAAAATTACTAAACCTTAAATATATTCATTGTGATAATTTTTATAAAGTTTTGCCAAAATTAAAATACAAACCCACACAGAAACACAAAAAAAGAGAAAAATGTCGCACTATTTATCCATACGTCGCCTAATGACGGGATCCTTGTAACGTATAGCTCCATAAATATGAGCTAAATTTGAAAATGAATTAACTTGCTGATTAAGACGATCCAGATCAAGCACGACATCATCATCTACTTTGATATAATACATTACATGTTCACAGTATATATGCTTGAAATACATCGCTGTGTAAACCTAATAAATTTCATTTTTAAAAATTCAAAAAAAAAAAAAAAATTGCTTGCAGAAATTTAAAAAAAAAGAATAATAAATAAGAAATAATAAACTTAATTAACTCAACCTTAAATTATGTAATATAACCTTAAGTGTTAGAGTGTTATAATTATCCGTAATTGATGTGACAATTAAATCATTGTATTTCTTGCTTTCCTCAATAATTTTCATCATCACCGTAATGTCATGCTGTATGCCTACGAGAAAATATGCAACAACAAATCCATTCTATAAAAATGGATGAATAAAATTTGAAATTGATGTTCAATAAAAAGAAGTCAATAGAGCAATATTTTCTATATTTTTCGAATTTCTTATTATCTTATAAAAAACATTATGAAATTAATGGATAATAACGAATTGCAACACTCATAATACTATTACATAAATATTTTAAGTAAATTTAAATAATTAACCATATATCAACATATTCATTAAAATTATTAACACAGCCTTTTTTGCTTCATTAAAGTTGTGAGATACTTCAAAAGTTATAAAAATATTGAAAGAATCTTTAAAATTAAAAAAATAAAAAAAAAGAAACAAACATATAATTTTATGCATTGTTTAGAGAATTAAAAATTATTTTTCCTTCTGATGTCTTCACTTATCCTTTCTTGATAAAATATTTTCCTGTTTTTGAATGTTTTTTTTTTTTTTTTAGAAATTATATACTTTCAAACTATTTGAATTACTAGCATTAAGCCACGTATCTCGTATTGCATTACGAACATTTAGCGATTCTGTCCTTGAAATGATTATTATCAGATATTTTGGTCTTTCTAAACAAAAAAGAAATTTTAGCATTGATAATAACAACAATTAGAACATAAACATTTGCTTGACTTCATATATTCTTGCTTGCTTGTTATTTAAGTCTTATAACTTAAATACTTAATAGTATAAACACAGTTATTTTCAACTTGTAAATTAGAAAAGAAATGAAAAAATTTTTAAAAACTGTCAATTAGAATAAAATTAGTAAATGAGTAATTCTTTTTTTCCTTTCAAAATTATATCACTGAGAATTGAATTGGTGGTTTAAGCATATATGCAAAGTACAAACGTTTGCATGCTTCTACGTTAGGAAGTATTAGAAGCGACGATTTGATCGATTCATCTTTAAATTCCATAGTGAAATTTTTGCTTATATTAACGTTAGCCCAAAATTCACTTAAGTCACGCAAGTGATCGTTTTTGCTAGACATCTGATGAAGCAAAACAATAAACAACACTAAAATTGAATTTAAGGAAACCTTTGAAACATCAAATTTTATATGAAACTGATAAAGTTCTTATTGTAAAGTTATTAACTTTATCATTCATTTAAATTTTCCAGTAATTAAAAAAGTTCTAAATATTCATCATTTGCGTAAAATTATAGGAGACCTACCGATCAAAATAATTATATTGTTTCATTTTCCCGTGATGAATTATTGCAACAGTTATACTATTAAAGTACATTATTAAAACGCCTTGTTTTTCCTCGAAGTTTTTATTATGTTCAGTTTAGAATTTAGTTAAATTTTGAAAATTTTAAAATTTTTTTTAAAAAAAATAAAAAATTTGAGACTAATTTTTTTTTTACTTTATCAAAGTTTAAACTAGCATAAATAAAGTGGTTATTCATCAGTGGACTTAAAATAAGTTTTTAAATTAAATTAGCTTGAGTTTATGACAAGATCAATTTAAGCCTATTAATTTTCAAAATCTCCTTTTTCAAAATATGAAATTCTTAATGCAAAGTTTCCTTACAAAAATTTTAAAATTTCGAATTATGACCTGCGATAATGAAGGCATTGAAAATATTTATTTTCTTCCTGAATCGTCTTCGACAATAAAACATTCCACTTTGCAAGCAAAATCAGTCACTCCAATCATCCAAACCTGTAAAACAATGAAATCAAAGTATATTCTTTTACAGTGCGATGTATGCATAAATATATTCATTAACTTGCTGCTTGCATTATTAACTTTTTATGCATAAATTACTATCTTGCTATGCATGCATTATTAAATCGTACTGGTTGCTATGCAATACATATGCATGCTTATTTTTGCATAATCTATTAACAAAGTCTAACATTGCTTTCAATCATTCCCACTTAGCGTCTGCTGCTGCAACCAATTTGCAATCAATCATCCAACGCATCTTGCATTGCATTCATAAAATTGCTATTTCCCATTCAAATTCATTTCACTATTATCGTATAACTAGCTAACTCTATTTTGCTGCATTCCAATTTCAATAGCTAATAAATGTTGTCTGTATTCATTAATTTGTTATTGCTTATCACCGTATTCATAAATCACTTTTTTTTTGAGTTGGTTATTTTTTAGAAATTATCTTTTTTTTTTTTGGATTGTGAAAGTTTAATATGTTTGAAAATAATAACTTAATGAATAATAAATAAATAATGATGTTCCCACATTAATAAATATAAAAGTTTCAGTAAAAATAAAAAAAAAAAAACATAAATTTTAATGTAATAATTAAAAGTTTTACTAGCAAATGTTGATCATTTCTCCTCATTACTAATTAATTCATTATTTTTGCAAACTTTCTTGACAATTTGATAATATACTTTGCTTATCATTTTAAAATTTTCTGATAGGATTTTTCGTAGTAATGATGAAACGTCGAAAATTATTGGATGATCAATTCTATGAAAATGTCATTTTTATAGTGTCACCTGAAATTAAATTAACCTTTGAACAAAGCAAAGCAAATGAAGTTATTACAACACATGATTAGTTTGTTCACAACTATCTGTAATAATTTTTTTTTTCAAAATTGAGGAATATTTATGTTTGAAAATTTCGAATTATTTAAGTTGTTTAAAAGATTATCATATCTTACTGAATCCCTTACGTCAAACCTCATTTTTTTTCCAACTCATTGTCATTAATATATGTTTTTTTCTGCAAAAACTATTTTTGATAGATAGAATTTGTCTAAAGACAAATTCTATCAAAAATAGCTTCTCATAAACATTGAAAACTAATAATTTGCTACGAAGTTATAAATGTTTTATTGGATTTCATGAATTTTTTATTTACAAAATCAAAAAATTAGTTTTGCATGCATGCTTTTCAAAAAAATTTTGAAAACATTCAAAATATTAAATTCGATATAAACTGAAGAAATGGATTTTTGCTAAAACATTTTCTAAAAAAATGCCATTAAAATTGATGAATTGAAAATTTATTGAAATAATGCAGAAGTTCCATATTTTCACACACTTTCATACGTTCAGTATACTCAAAATATGAACTATTGTTTTCACAACAATAACGAAAGATGTCCGTAAAGTGAAATTTTAATATTTCGAAATAAATTTGTATTAAATCTATAACATTAAATATATTTGAATATTAAACAAATGTGAATTACCTCAAACCAGAATTCAATATATCCAAGTATTAACCAAGATTTTAAACCTTATATGTGGGCAATAGCTTGCAACAAACGCATCTTTACAGTGAAAGCTGACAAACAAACGAAGTTTATTGAAGTTTATTGAAGAAAGAGCTGACAATAAACAAGGAAGACTAACTGAACTGAGTTTACCTTCCTTTTAAACAACAGAATCCTAATTTGCCTATCCGGTTTACTGGTCTCGGGGAGATTCATTGGATCTAGATATCAATAGGAGTAACCAGAAATATAATAATTCCTTTATCAGCAGAAGCAATAGTAGAATAAACTTGATAGAGAAAAATTGAAATGCAAGTAACGAAAATCCCTTTTGTGGTTGAATTTTTCTGGTTCTTGGTAAAAACACTCCCTCTATTAAACATGAATGACCTCCTTATATAACAAGCAATATGCATAAACAAAGTGCATGATTTACAATAAGAAGCTGACCTATCGGAAGAGTAATCAATCTAACAAAGAGTCTGTTGACCTTTCCTGTGGTTTACAAGCAAATCTAATTACTAGTTGAAAGCCGCAAAGGATGTTAGTTAAGCAGAAGTTGTTAACCACGCAGATTCAAACATAATTTACAGTTAATGAAGACACAACCATGAGGTCAACTAAATGAGGAACTGATACTGTGTAAACAATATATGAACAGTTTACAGAGTTTATGTGTTATTGATGCGTTTGAGAAGGGAATTTTTTGTTTTATGTTTGTTGAAAAACCTTTGTCCCTCAATCATCTGATTAATGTTGAACAAACGGCAATTATATGAGAATTATACAGGTGAAATCGTCCATTTAATTACTCGGGTTTAAGGTCAGCTTCTATGAATTCGAGAAAATTGTCGGGACATCCTGAAATTTTGTGTGACAAGAAATGTGCTAGTAAAAATGGAATACTTTCATGTTTCATCATGTCTATATACACACCAATATATATATACTTTGATTTTCTATTTGCAAATCTTTCAATAATATATTTGAATGTTAGTATTTAATGGATGGTAATGATGATTGTGTGGAAATGATAATGTAAATTTAGCAATTGAAATATTGTTGAATAATAAATTTGGGCGCAAATGTTGCTTGAAGTGAAGTAAAAATCATCGCTACAATAAATGTGTGCTATTATCGATTGGATGTGATTTATGCTTCAACATATTTGTAACAATAGTCTACGACCATACCACGTTGAAAGCACGACATCTCGTCCGATCTGTCAAGTTAAGCAACGTTGGGCCTGGTTAGTACTTGGATCGGAGACGGCCTGGGAATCCCAGGTGTTGTAGACATATCTTTGGTGTTTTTTAGCCATGCATTAAATGCAATAATACAGTGATGAAAAATGGTTCATAGCACTTTTTGACAAAAAATGATCTGATGAATATTAAATACACAACAACTATATGGGAATGATGCAGGTAGAGTCGTCCGTTTAATTACCCAAATTGGAGGTAATTGAATGTTTCAAAATATGCATCTGTATATAGACATGATGAAACATGAAAGTATTCCATTTTTACTAGCACATTTCTTGTCACACAAAATTTCAGGATGTCCCGACAATTTTCTCCAATTCATAGAAGCTGAAACTCTGGCCGATACATTCAATTACCTTAAACTTGAGTAATTAAATTAACGATTTCACCTGCATAATTCTCACATAATTGTTCAACATTATTCAGATGATTGAGAGACAAAGGTTTTTCAGCAAACAGATGAAACAAAAATCATTCAATGTGATATGTTCGAAAATGATATTTCATTGCTCAAACGCCTCGATAATGCACAAACTTGAGATTCCTAGACTTTAAGTACTAACTAGATCAACGATCCAACCTTGGCAGATGAGACGAAATATTGTGCTTTCAACGTGGTATGGTTGTAGACATTTTCAAATATACAAATGAAATTCACCAATCTTTGCTATATGCAAGACTGAATATTTCTTTTTCTTTTGCAAGTGGCTTTTTATCATCACGTATTTCACATTCTTCCAAATGTATATTGACACAATCTCATATAGTTATTAACATTTTTCTATCCTACACACTAACTTTTGGGTTCATTAGCTTTCAATATTTATTGCCAAAGTAAAAAATGTGTCCTATTTTGGGTTAAGTTCATGTGTTTGAACATTTTTATGTAAGTTTTGCATATCAAATTATATAAATACAGTACGCTTTCATAATTTACTTTGCAATTCTTCATCAGAAATTCTCTGGCTCTCATAACATCATAACGTGGCCTTAACTTTATCATTGAATTTCAATCAATTGCCAGTTCCTCATTGCTGGACCAAAAAGCATGTCTTCTTTACGTTTACCCCTTATACGTGAAATATCCTTACTGTACTGTCATGACGTTATGATTCCCAACAAAGACACAAAGAAATAATTCAACGACGTTTAGAAACCATTTACAATAAATTTAGTATTTTAGCGTTTAGCATTTTATACCTCTAAAAGCCTAATAGAATGTATTTATTCTTTTTGCACATAAATAACCAATCAATGTAATTTCATGAATCAAGTTAAGTTAAGTTAATCTCTTATGGAATATCATATGAGTAATGGCTATCATATCTTCATATTCTCTCGGTTGAATACCTACTCGGGTTTTGGGGAGACGAACAATCAATTCCAACAGATTATACAGAAATGTCCAGAAAACTATATCGTAAAGTCAGAAAAATAAATGTAAATTAATCAAACTCCTTTATACAGTTATTATTGTCAACTAACTGTATGACAGCATACAACATGACACTGACATAGTTAAAACATAGTAAAAAACCAATTAAAAAAAAAATGAATTAATAGAAAAACCTATTGATCTTTTTTCCACTTTCAAAAATTCCGCTTCTGTTCATTCATTTTTCTCATTTCGTAGAAATATTTTTATCAATATGCAATCTTTCACAGTGCGCTACTAATAAATTGCATTAAAATTTTAATGATGCAAACTATCAAAATCGATTTCCAGAAATAAATTATGAAAAAATTATTTTTGATAACCGATTTTTCTCACACTGCATTCATTCCCTTTAATAAGAATTTAAGTGAATATCAGCATTGAAATTTTTCTCACACAAAGTATATCACACCTAAGTATATCAACGATATTATTTATTTGTCTATTTTTCATTAGTTATCTCACGGTGATTTTCAAAAATTTACTCTTTCAAAAAACTTCACTTTATTAATACAGTAAGATTGTCAGATCATATGTCTTTTCAAAATCAGTGCTTAGATTCAATCACAACCATAAATCATCGCGAGTTAATAAGTGGTGATTTGCAGCAAACATATAAGTACGAATCTAATTTATCATTTATCACTTCTTGTTTTGAAATTAGAATTCACAATAATTTAAAGTGTTTGCATTTTGGACATTTAAAATATTAGTTGAAGCCAAAGCTCTTTCTAGTAATTTCCGAATTCAAAACAACGAGAAAGATTATTCACTGATAATATGATTGTTCGTTATTACTGTATTGCATTATTTCTAATATCACCTTTAAACTGCCATGAAGGAAATGCGACAAATGTAATTGACATAAGAGACGAGCAGCACATAACTATAAAATATACAGTAGTTGTGGCGCTTTCTTTCTTCTTGCTATACGGTACTATTAGCAATATTCTGATGGTTACTGTATGCTACAGTCGAGACAATCATTACAGTCGCCCATTCATCCTTATCGTATCCCAAATTATTACTTCTAATTTCATAAGCTTCATTCCATATGTAATTGTCCTGTTGCCTGGACTATTACTGAGTAAAAAATATGGTAAATTATATAAAATAATTCTATAATTATTATAGATAAGGTGAAGAACATCACAGATGAATAAAAGTGATGCATCTAATTGATGAATGAAAGAGATTTCTGTCATTTTAGAATTTTGATTTGCATTCAACATTTTAAAATGTATTCTAATAAACTGTTTCCTTTTGTGTTTTAGCCTACAAAACGTGGATGAACTTCGCATTCTGTACAGTCCGTATATTTTCAACTTTTGCTACGATACACTTTTCATTTGTGTTGTCGCTGAATCGCTTTGTAGCTGTAGTTTTACCGAAATTCAATGCACTTTTCGAATCAGGAAAGCTGTACTTCTTATTCCTCTTCGTATGGTTGACAGCTTTCGGTATGACATTTAACTTTTGCGCAATGTCCTAAATTATTTCATTCTTAAACAGACATGGAGATTGATAACTTTGTTATTTTGACATTTTCGGGAATAACGTTTTAATTTGATAACCTGCTTCTATTTTACAATTGCAGCAATTGCATATGCGGACTTTTGTTATTCCACAAGAAGTCTTCAAATTTCGATCTTATACTGCTCAGAAAATTCCAGAACACATTTTTTTTAGTTAGATTTAAGCACTGTTTTAATTTTTTAAGATTTTAAAATCCATTTTAATTTGACAAAGTATTAAAGCTTCATACAGTATCAAGTAATATAATGATAATTCTAATTCTCTCTTTTGATTCAGCTGTAACAAATATAAAAAAAGTTAAAAAGCATTGTCTTTTCTTCTTGGTGGTGAAAATTCATTAATATCTCCAGTCAGTTTTCAGTTTTGTCGAAATTTGGGCTCTATTTCTATCTATTACAATGCTTCTAATGTATTCAGCAATTATTTGTAATATACGTAACCGTTTTATAACAGTCAACAACGAAACACGAAGTTAGTGATAATAAATCATTTTTTTTCATACTCAAAACGATACTTTTAACTTTTGTATTTCGAATTACATTTGAAACAATTTTTGGCTATTTTAAATTTACTCTAAAGTTATCCAAGAATTTTTTTTTTCTTCTGTGTCTTACTTTATTGCTTATTTCGAATAAAATATGAAATTTTAGAGACTTTTACGATTAAAACAGAAGATAAAACAAAAGCGTTGAGAACTGCCAAGTATGAAAGATCAATGTTTATTCAAGCTGCCATGACTTGTGGTGGTTTAATACTTGGATCATTATTAATCTTCATTCTACCAATGATTTTGATAAAGATTTTCAGCCAAAAAATCTTAATTCCAATGAACATTTTTCATTGCTTATATTTCATTTTTTATCGTTGTATATTGCCAACAGCTTTTTTCTTAACCAGCGAGTATGCTCGTAGAGATCTATACTTAGCTTTGAAAATTAATGTAATAAAACCTATTCTACTTCTAACATCTCGCATAAAAAAGATTAGAACCTTAATTTATTAACCATCTGTCTCTTAATATCTTTGGGATACCATTGATAGCATTTTACAAAATAAATGCATGACTCTTTTAAATATCAGTTCTATTTGTTAGCTGTATGTTTAGGATAATCTTTATAACCATTATCAGTAGTAAGAGTTATGTTTTATCATAGAGATATTTGTGTAAAATGTTAGAAACGATTTCAGGTTATATTCGTTTGCGTTCAATGCTTCTCGAAATGAACCTTCACTTAAGTCTTTAAAATTTCAGAGTTGATTTTTGGATTTCTTATTTGAATTTTATGAATTTAAATTTTATTGCTTTTATTTCGACTTTAACTTATCAATTTGACAAGCTCAGTAATGCAGAGAAGCAATTATTAAAGAGTACAAACTGATAATATAGTCATTTTCCTTTACTGTATTATTAACATGCATAATATGTTCATTTTTTTTTTTCTGTTCACTATTATATCACGTACTTTAATAGAGAAAGATGAAAAAAGAATTTCTAACTCAAAATGATACATTGTAAAATATTTTAGTTTCTTAACTATTTGAAGTTTTTGCTAATTTCATGCACATTTTAAAAATGTTTACTATTTATTATTAGCTTTTTGGTTGTTGTTTAACTTCAGTTGAAGTATAATTTTCGGTATATATTTTTACTATTTTGTCTATTTTATGTCCTTTTCAAAAGTATGTTCATTGCATGCATTTTTTGCTAATTTATGTATGCAAATTTTTGGTTACTTACTGTTATTCTTATCAATTTTCCCATTTCTGGGTTTCTTCTTTTACTTACTGCATGATTTTTTCCACTTTGTTTGGTCATTTCAGATGATATTTTCTCTTTATAAAATGCTTTTTCCTTTTGGTTACATTTATGTTTTCGTTCTTATATTTCTGTCTTGCTACTTAGTATCTGTTGATGCATGCACTTTACTAGCTGCATGCTTTGCCTATGTTAGCTGTTTGTGCATATTATATGTAAGTTTTAGTTATTTTATTGACAAGAAAAGGTCATAAAGTATTTTACTCAAGAAGTCGGAATGTATTATCAGACTTTCCACTTTTCTCAACACAGTTTTAAATTAGTTTAGGAGCTTTTCAGATGGTGGAATTCCTCTGTTTGTTTGAAGTCACAAATTATTTTGAACCTGTCATGTGCTAGATTTCGACTTGCATTTTTTGAACTCCCTGTGTCTCTGAATTTCAATTAATATCTTTTGAGCTTTTGAATTTCTAAAAATTTGTTTGAAATCGTTTCTATTTCATCATATCCAGATTTTTCTCCAAATTCATCTTTGCGCATGATATTATTTCTGATCTTGTAAGCTATGGTTTTTCAATGACTGTAATCATAGGTTTTTTTGTTATCCGAACCCACTAAATAAACTGGATCTTTTGCTTTGACAATTTTTTGATATAGCAACTTCGATTCACCAATATGTCAATAATAGACTTTTACATAATTTAATACTTTCTTTATTAAGCTTTTTTTTTTTTCCTTCTATTTTATAAGTGTTATATTGTAAAAGAGTAATAAAGTTATTGTCGACGTGTGGTAGTTGCGATAGTACAAAAACACATACTATTAAAAAGGTCTAATATCTACTTCAACCTGTTATAGATGAAAAATAAGATTCAAACCTAAAATGATTATAATTTTATAAAAAGGTATGATATTGATGCTGCAGTAGAAATATTATGAGATGGTTCATTGAATGAAGAAAATAGTAGTTACAAAAAGTATCTATTTTAAGTTTCGTCATTGTAATTTCTGATAAAATTTATTGTAATGATAAGACAATAACAATTATAGTTGACTGGTTCCATAGCAGTTTCATTTTTTGACACCGCGTGAAATTAAACCTTTGCTATTTGCATATAAATAGGTGTGAAATATTACTATCACAACTATTTGTTAAAATATTTTTCTTTTCAAATTATAAATATGAAAATAAAATATCTCGAAAGAAATCCTAAGTATCTAAAATATCTTCTGAATAAATTGATTATTTAAAATTTTTTAACCTTCTTATATATGTTTTTTTTAAAAAGACTTAAATATAACGTTTTCATTTTCCTTTTTGTTATCATTTATTATGCTACAACTTACAAATTTCATTATCTACTGCAAGAGATATGATAAGTTGAAACTGAAATAAGTGATAAGATGAAGATCTTGTAATGTTTCTATAAGAATTAATTTAATTTTATATTTTTTAAAAACTTCAAGGAATAGAACAATCCATTTTGAATCAAACCCATTTAAAACTTTTATTAGGTCAAATGCTTTCTGTACAACAACAATGCATAATATAGCATAGGAAGAAAGTAATTCAATCTAGTAAATGAAGAATTTCTTTCTTATTCTCTCTCCAACACGCATCAAATTTATCAATTTATACAACCGGAAAAGTGGAAAATACTTGTATTTTTAGACAGTATTAGTACTATCGTCTTCCCTTTTCTCCTTTTTACTTGAAATTTCACGTAGTTAAAGGTTTGCTGCAAGGTAAGAAGTATCTCAAAGTAGGCTTCAGAAATTTTACTGCAAACTCAAAATCAGCGCTATCTCCTTCGAACAGATCAACAAGGGAATGAAGCAATAACAGATCAAGCGATCATGGATATTTATTTATTGTCCGAAGGATGATAGGACTACGGATGATGTTAGATGTTGGGAATGTCACTTCTTGAGAGTATTAGTTTTTATAGAGTTGTCAAATGTCAGTTAAGTTCAAAAATATTTTTTTTTTGATGAATTGCAATTTTAAAATCATATTGGCAATTAGACAAAATCTAACATAATTTAAATTCATTTCTCTGTTTAAATTATTGAAACTGAAAAAAACCATAAAATTTTCATAGTGATCCATATTTAAATTCGTAATTAAAATTAATTTCAATATAAAAAATGAATTGAAGCCGTTACTGATTGCAATTTTTTTTGAAAATTTCAGCAATGCAGATTAATTGTTATACATTCACATTAGACACATAGAAATTATTCATAGGTTAAAAATTTTTAGCAAATAAGATCACCGCACATTCAAAATAAAGTGATATTATGATCATAGTAGACATGATGAAACCTAGAAAGTATACAATCATGAAGCAAAGTAACCGAAGCATTCATTCACCTCAAACTTGGATCATTCTTACATAATCTTCGTGCATTCAACATTTATCAGTTCATTGAAGGACAAAGTTTTTCTGATCAAACAAAATTTTCGGTCTTTTTCAAAATTAATCTAACATCTGATACAAGTAATTTTACTTAAATTCATTTTGAATCACCTTTCATCATTTCTAGATAAACAACTTATACATTTTGTCTTTGGCTTTCGGTCACGGTTGCATAAAATTTGTCGGAAATTTCTTTCTGATCGTCAAAAGGACTAAGATAGTTAATTCTATTTTGCCGACTCTGTTCTTTCCCAATTTCTAAAAACTCAAACTAATTCAATCTTCAAATGTTTAAAGTTAATACAACGAACTCAACAATTAGGAGATAACTTAAAGACTATCATTTTTCCAAAGTTTTCTTTTACTTTTGTTGTGGATGCTGTTTCTATACGATTTGTTGTGTGCGGGTCTTTTTTGTGCTGGTTTTTTTTTTCTTTTTAAAAAAAAATGAAAAAGGAGACTCTTAATATTCTAACTAATAGTAATAAAAGCAGGAATTAAATATTGGTAATGATAACAACCTTACTGTTTTAATTGAAATTATAATTATCAAGAGAAACATTCATTTGAATGATTATTTCAAATTTAAAACTCCGCGACAAATTACTGCTAAATTATTCATAGCATTCGAATAACCCAAATGGAATTACTTATTTTGCATTTTGAAATTTAACTCAGCAGTATATTAATGTTATCACATCATCGTACGCAACTCCTCTTTCAACTTTTACTATTCCCTAAAAATTATAAATGATACATGCCTACCCGTTATGCAACATATGAAATGAATTTGTAGTGTTACTTCAATCCGAAAAATATGACAAATCACAAATTCAGTTCTGATCAGTCAACAGAAGAATATGCTTTAGTTAACAAAAAAGTGATGTATTTTAGAATAATAAACAAATTTGGTAACTTTTTAAGAAAATTCAATTGTTAAAAAGATCATTTTTAATAATTGAAAATTTAGTAGCAGTCAATTACTGATTGCAATAGAAGATCAGAAACAAAATGAATTATATGAATTCTATATTTCTTCTTGGAAGCTTGTCACGGAGTAACAAATATGAAGTTAACAGATCAAGTTACTTAAAAATTACCACTGTTATTTACTTCATTCATTGCTCATTTCGAATTATAATTCACTTCTTGTTGTCTTTTATGGTCGTCTATATCTGCAGGAAAACAACAACAGCAGCAGACATATTTGTTGAGATTATCTTCAAACAAGATTTACTATATATGTCTGTGTTCCTTCATTTTATTCCCACTACACTTGTATTTTTCATCATAATTTGACAACTCAAATTTGTGGCACTCAGATTAGATTATTATCACTTATCAAATACCATCATTGTATTAAATGCATGAAAATATCATAAAAAATGATAAAATATTCGGCACATTAGCGTAAATTTGAAGTAAGCGACGAATGATACCATCAAAAATTTGACAAAATAGCTGAATGTCCATCATTGCATTCATAAGACCAACACCATTTCTTCTTTCCTCATGAATCATTTAAAATATTTTTCTAATATTTGATTGAAAATTAAAAATGATTCTGTAGAAAGATTTCACAACGATTTCAGTTGTTGTCGATCATATTCTCATCCTCTGTTCTTTCTTTTTTGGATGCCATTCGAAATATGCCAATCATAAATGCAAAATCACTGTAATCATCCACTACGGTATATGGCGTTCACTACTATAGCCACCATCTGATTGACTGCTACCACTAATCGGACGACGTTGCTCTTTCCTTGAAAATAAAATAAATTCTTCATATACTATTTATTTTAAAATTATTACTTACAAATATTTAAAAAAATTGTAATGTCTCATTTTTTTTTTTCAAAGAATGAAACTCATTCAGTTAATCAATTTAACCAATATACTTTATTTGTGGCAAGAAAGTTAGTTTAAAAATTGACTAATATTCTAGTAGAAGTACAGATAATTCTACCTTAAAATTATTATCACTATTGACAATTCATACTAAGCATTTTAAATTTCGCATCATTAGCAGCAAATGAAGCGAATTTCCACTTTTTTTTTCCAAATATTTGCAAGAAATAATTCGGATAAAAGGATAAATAAATTTAAATTTCATATTTCAGAATTCTGAAGATTTCAGAATTTTCATATAGTACTGCCCCCAAAAATCTTTTCCAAAAAAACTGCATTGCAATAAAGAAATTAGGAAGAAAAGTATAATTATAAAAGCAATCAAAGATATTACACCGCACATAAATAGTTGAAATGATATTCCTTAGGGTATTCACCCCGACAAATCCATCTAAAAATAAGCCTTTTAATATAACTCCATCGGAAAATCTCGTTTTTCTTGAAATAACATTAGTACTATGAAAAGGAATTGTTGAAAATTTAAATGTTTTTTACAGATTAATATATCTAGGTGGTAAACTCTCTCTCTCTCTCTCTCTCTCTTTCTCTTCTGTGATACCTTAGATGTACATTATAAATAAATTGATATAGTGGTATTTTTATATTGACAAAGTGATGTGTTATTACTGATTCCATTTTTATTTTTAATTTTTTCCAGTAAGCAAAATTCATTTTTATGTGAGTTATTAAGCATAAATACAAGCAAGGTTAGGATAAAAACGTTTTATTGAATATTTCGAAAAATATATTTCATTTTCATAAGATCCAAAATTTATAAGAAATTAATAGATATATAGATTATGATTATGTGATTCTGTTGTTGAACTTTTGCTTCGTGCAAAGATTTTCGTTGCTAGTACTTGAATTTAGGAATTTTCAATTTCAATTAAATTTGTGTGCAAAATTTAAATTAAGAATTAAATTTAGAAATGTCACGCAGAAATGATTTCCAGTGTTGGAATTAGCACTGCACAGATTAGATGCACTGTCATTTATACAAACACAAAAACATAGATGACACACACACAGGTGAGAACTGAACTCTCAAACTAATATTGGCATTTTTCCTACCCGGGATAACAAGTTTACCTTGAAAAAATTAGAGTGTTTAATACAGGTTAATTATATTTGTGCATGGAATGAAATATGATCATTGTTCTATTTCATTGCTTTTCTGATCTGAGATAATTAAAGTTCACAAATCTGAACACAATACTTTTTCCAGAACCTTTTTTTTCTATTTATCAGCAATGGAACGCTGTTCTTGTTTATGATCAGAATTAGAATGGCATCTCATGTTATTAATGAAATCATTCTAGCAAAAGCGTATCACCAAGGGGTAAAGTTAAAGCCTTAATTTGCTTCGAGGTGACAAAAATTCATCTAGTTCGAACTCCGTGAGGATTGGTAGATTGAGGATTCTTTCATAATTCGATGGTTGGTGATACATGGATCTTCTCAATTGGTGAAGTAGTTGTTAAATAATTTTTTGCAGATAATTTCTTAGATTAGCAGTGTTTAGCCGTACGTATAACATATGTTTGAAATTGATTTAAATTTGAACGAATTTTCATTTAAATGAGCAAAAGTTAAAATTTAATGAAAGAAAATTAGGGCGAGAACTTACGCGAGAGTGGAAGCAGCTTTACGAACAGATTTAATGAAATGATTTTTAATTTCTGCTTGGCAGCAACACAAATGGTAGACGGATTCACGTGATGAACCGATATGTGTGATTATGAAGACATATTGTGACTGAGATGATTGAATATTGCTTTCGTTTACTTCTACTTCAACAATTGGTAAAATTCGATAAACTTTCGTCTGCAAATAGACTGATTTAAAAACTGTGAATGAGGTAAAGAAAAGACTGGATTGAAATGAAATTAAATGAAATATAAATATAACAGGAAAATAGTAAAGGAGAAGTTAAAGAAGGTATAATTGAGATTGTTATAATAAAGATAGATAAAGAAAGAAATTCATAGCAAAACAAAAAAATATATAGATAATTTTTTTAAAAGAGATTAATTAGTACTCGTTTCAAGATAAAATGGATTGATAGAAGTAAACTTAAGGAAAATTAGGGCATTAAATAAAAATAAAACCTTGTTTTTGGAAAGTGTTGGACAGAAAATCACAATTAGGCTGGTAAAAACAAATGCCACGCAAGCAACCGGACGTGAACGATTTTCCGGACAATTTAACCAATTAATGTGAGCAAACATTAGTAATTGACTGAAATTCATACGTGATGCCTGGAAAGAAAAGAGAAATCTTACAATCTTGTAGCATAATTTTAGGCATTAATTTTAGATTTGAAAAGATTCCAATACTATAACTGAAATGAATTATTGAATATTAAAGTATTAAGGCTTAAAAATTCATATTTACGACTACTCAGATATTTTTAGGAGCGATTAAAATTAAAAGAATTAATTTACTGCTCCGTTTTTTAACGAAATTTCTTCAATATTCCGTCCATATTGTTCTGTTAATCGTTGCATTTCATTCACATATTCTGCTAAAGCTTGCATTCTTGTTAGAGCTTGCTCACCTTGTTGCCTTTCCACAGATCCTTCAATAAAAGAGATGTTAAATTCTAAGTAAACTCAACTACAAATCAATTTTACTCTAAATCAATATAGGTAATCATTGATAGGTAATGAAATTTATAAAAATCAATAAATAAATAAAAACATTACTGTGAAATTATGAACATTCAGGAATTTATTTCTAAAAATTTGTCTGCATGGAATATGTATATGGCTGTACATGTGAGTGACTGATGAATTATACTTTTTTAATTCGAAATAAGCAAATTAAATGAATAGGGAATAAACTTTAAAATTAGAATTAAAAATAGGAATAGTAAAGTTTAACAGTGAAATGTTTGTGATTTTTCAACTATAAAATGTGAAATACAATTTTTTATGTACTAGAAAATGAAGAAAAAGTGAACCTTTAAAACAATTATCTCTAATTTGTTGTAAAAAAAGAGGATATTTGAGAACCCGCTGGATTGGTTTGATTAGTAGGGATTGAGCACTTTCACTTTGCTCACCACTAATGTTTAATTTATCCAATCGTGTCACAATGTCATTTAGTTCTAAAATGAAACCATCTTTGATTTTTTTTTTAAATTAAAGAAAAAGAATTGAATTAATCAAGATATTAATAATAATATAAATGATATCTAACAATGAGTAAGAATTACACGAATGTATCTGATACTTAAAATTGTATTGTATTATCATTTAAAAAAAAAAGGAAAATAAATCGAACAAGTTTGCAGATAACTTAATAGAACTTTTTATGTTGAAATCACATCAATGAGTTAACCCTTTTTATTTTGTTGAAATCGTAAATATGCAGCTGAATAATCGCTATAAATTTTGAATTTACTACATTTGTTGACAAATAAAGCCGAAATACGAATCAATGAATCCTGAAATGAAGTTCCAGTGAAATGAAGTTTTCCGAGTTGTCTGGATTTAAATCCACAGGTGTTCATCATTTAGGAAAGTATTTTTGTGATGATTCATTACATCCATTCAATTCATAAATTAAAAATCAAAGCAATTAGCTAAAAATGGATTGGTTCTAACTTGATCTTACCCGCAATTGTTGTTGTGAGACTGTAAATGAACGAGCAACATCTCCGGCTGCATCCAGAAGTGATAACAGGAATGAAGTTTGAATCCGTAATAAGCGATCAGCTGTTTCCAATAATGGTAAATTTGTCGGTTTTAAATATTGATTCACCAGCTATTACAAACTTTTCCCATTTGAATTTATTTTTCTTTTAAATTTAAATTGTGTGAAAAATTTTCAAAAAGTTTCGCGACATCTCAGAATGTATTAGTTTTTTCCGATTAAAAAAATATAGAAGTTAGCAAAAATTCTAGAAAAAAATCATCTAAACATGTCTTATGAAAATTGAAATTTTATTTTATCTATCAGTATATTTTGAAGTTAGTAAAAACAAAAAAAAAAAGGAAGATTATATCATATCGTCATTTCTTTATTTCTTTTCTCTATGGTTTTATCCGTAATTTATTATCACCAAACTTAAAATTGATAAACTTATTTGTCTTAAACTTTTTCAATTACTCGATATCTTTAAAAAGAGAAGATTAAAACCTTCTGAACATCACGCACAAAATTTTCTTCCGTTGATACAAGTTCACTGATTGTTTTCAAAAGTTGATCTTCCGCTCCTTCACTAAAATGTGATACGGAGATGGCACCAATAGGAGTTGTATGTCGATATTCCGCACGCCTTGATGGCTTCTCATAAGCGGAACGAGACATTTGACGAAATAAATGACTGTTTGATGATGACTGACAGTTTTGATGAATACTTCGAGTAGGTGATGATCTAGCTGATTCACTTTCTTGATCCTATAAATGATACAGAATGAAAAAAAAAAAAAAAAAAAAGAAAAAAAAAAGAGAACATTCTTAACATTCGGTTAATCGATTATCATCAATATTTGTCACCAAATCACCCTATTTTAAAACTTAACTATCAATGTAATAAACCGAGCAAACGGTAAGCTTTTGAAGTTTAAAAGTTTCCATAATTTCAATAAAATTTGTTTACTTTTCGAGTTGTATTCGTATATGACGTAATATCGGATATCCGATCCATACTATGGGAACGATTTCTTGTGAAAGATTGTGGTGGTGGTGGCGGTGGTGGTGCAAAACTATTGAAAATTGTTGTAGCAGTAGTAGTAGTAGTAGCAGTACTACTACTACTACCACTAGTCTCAGTAGATAACGGTATTGATCTGACGTACTGCGAGACGATAGCGTCACGTTTGCGTAGAACAAGATTTGTGCCGTGACGTAACAAAATTTGCACCTCTTCAGCACTTCTCAACGAACTAATCAATCGGTTATCAACGCTTATCACCAAATCACCCACTTCAACACAGGTCGTTTTATCACGAATTGCACGAACTTCAGCCTAAAAATTAAAAATTTTCATAGCCAATTATTTGTAAACATTTGATTGAATTTATTATTCAATCAAAACTATCCAAACATCTATTCAAAACTAAAAATGTTCAAAAATGAGTTTTTGCGATATGATTGTCATTTATCTTAACAAGCTGTAAAATGAACTAGTTTTTAGTTTAAAGTAGATTACAAGATAGCAAATATCTACTTATCATTTGACTTACAACAGGCAAAAATTATTTTATATCTAAATTTATTTGTATATTTAAGAAACCTTTCTATTCGATGAAAAAAAAATCGCATGTTTAATAATTTGGTTCAATATTTCTATTTTTTGTAAATTTAAGGAGTTCAAATCAAATTCAAAAAAAAGTATAATTGATTCAGTATGAAACAACTTTTATTGCAATGATTTCCGAAGAAAAGCAAAAAAAAAAAAAAGAAAAAGGTCGACTAAAATAAAATGTGAAAATTTAAAAAAAAAAACAGGTGTTAGTTAATTATTTTAAATTATTGCAAAGAAATGTTTAATATGATTGATAATGAATTAGACAGCAAATCGTTTGCTAAAAATGTAATAACCAATGATTAAAGAAGATATTGTGAATTATTGAAATTAAAATGTGAAGAAGAGAGAGGGAGGAAAAGACGAGCAGAGAAAGAGATAAAAAAAAAGGAAATAAGTGGTAGTGTAATTTTAAGAGTGGAAAATGTAATAACAAAATCAATTGTATAAATTTTTGGTTGAGGTTGCAGATCAGTTAAATTTTGGAAAGAAAACATAAATTAATTATCTATTTATTTATTTCATACCTGTAATTAACGGTTGTTCTGAGATGAGAGCCGCACGAAATGATATCAAAATTTTGAAATGCATTTATTTAAAAATGAAAGAAATTGTAGTGAAATTTAACGCTGAAAGAATTACACTTGAATTGTTTCATCAATTTTAAAGTTTCAGTTTGTTAAAAAAGAATATTATTTATCAAGATGAAAGGATTTTCCAACACTAAGTGCTAATTTTTGTAACAAATAATAAATGTATATGCGAATTTGAGTTTTTAAATTATATTAAATATTTATTTAATTACGATTTTAAATCATTTTAATGTTTTGTAGAAAGATGATATTTTGTTAACAATTTTGAATGATTTTTGATCAATTAAAATATTATAAAATTTGCATAGATTAATAGATTTACTAATTGCAAAGGAATATATAAATTTTTCAAAATGGTTAATCGATATTTGTTTAAGTATTTATTAAGTACAAGTAAAATCCTATGTATTGCTAATTTCTCAGTGATTCTGTCCAATCTGTTGTCTTTTAAGCTTTTTTTTTTATCAAAAATCGCTCACAAAAGAACATAAAACGTAAATTAATTCAATTAAATATCAATTTTAAAAGAATCAATTCATATTTTCAGAAAGATCTCAAATAACAAACTTGAAATAAGTAAGGATATTACAATCACTATCACTAAGTAATGAGCTCGTTGTAAGTCAATATCTTTAAGTAAGTAAACCTATTGTCCTATCATTCATATAGCAACAAAAGAAAGAAAAAAGTAGAAAAGAAAAAGTGGTTAGTTGCTGAAATTAGCTCCTCATTTTGAGAGTTGAATGAACAACTTTAAGAAAAGGATGAAAATTGCAGACTAAAAAGAAAAGAAAAAAAGAAATTACAAATTTATTATCAAACTAAATTTTGAAAATTATTTTCAACTTGAAACATTTTGTCGATAGTAAAAATACAAATCAATTTTATAGATATATTAATTTTGAGCATCAAATAGGAAAAAATATTTTACTATTAAGGTATCATTTTTTTTTTTTAAAGTTATGAAGTTAATACTGTTATCTAGTATTATTCAGTCCTTTTAATTTTGATTTCAACATTTTATTCATTTCATTTTTTAAATTATATTATTTTCTTACATAAAGTAATTTTTGCTTTTTCCTTTCATTATCATTTTTTTTGATATGCTTTCCATTTTGATATGTTTTATATAGTTTGTATATAAGAAACAATAATACATTTAACCTTTAACCTCTGTACTGAATGGCTTTATAATATAATTTACCTTGATTCCACCATCATTACACATTTTAGCTGATATTGTTAAACCAAGACTTCGCTCTTTCTTTTGCAATCGATAATCTCGTTCTTGTAATCGAACTCGATCATATCCCTCTCTCACAATGTAATATTTTTCCGGATCAAGTTTCAGCTCATCACAAACCTGACACAAAGACAAATTTCAAAATCAAAAGCTAGCAAACTAAGATTGATAGAATATGCTATGATAATTTGATTAGGACAAGATAAAATCTAGAAAAAAAACAAGGAAACAAATAACTACCATCTGATTTTAATGTTTGTTAATAGATGTGTATTAATAATAGTTCAATGTTTGTTAATAATAATTTGTTTAACTTAAGTACAAACAAATATTGAAATCATTTTCCAATCTGAATTTAAATTTAAATCTTGAATATGATTTTCAATCGCAAAAAAAAGAAAGAAAAGAATTTACAAAGAATAAATTACAATATTGTTAAGTTTAACGATGAAATTAGGTCGTTTCATTTTTATAAAAAAAGAAAAAGTTGTTCACCTTGCATAAAATTTCTCTCACATTATCTACGGTTGTTTGCTGAAGAGTTATAATGGAACCGGAAGGAAGTAATACATTTATGGTACCATTATTACTATGTAAAGGATAATCATCGAAAAGTGTATGAAGTCGAGAAACATTCAACATTAATTCTTCTTGATGATTCCATAATCTTTTACTGCTGAAATAGTATAAAGAATGAAAAGTTAAAATAAAAAATTAAAAATCTCTCATCTTTTTTTAATAGTAAAAGATTCTTTTAATTTTTAGTTTATTGTTTAAAAATGCTAAATGAAATTTCAATTAATTTGATAAGTGTTAATCATCATAATTTATTTTTTTCTTTTTGTTAAAATAATAAATTGAAAGAAGACAATTAAAAAATTCTTGGGAACAATTCTTTTTTTTTTTTTTTCAGATAAAAAATTTTACAATCAAACTGATAAAAAAGAATTTTATGCTATTATTAATTAGTTAAAAGCTAACATTTGAAACTGTGATTTACATAAGAAGTATAAATGTAGTGAACATATGGCAGAACCGCCAAATGAACTTAGATGACGTAATGTACGCAATGAAATTTTACTTAATAATTCCTGAAATACAAAGAAGGGACAATTTTGTAATGAAATTGATAAAATATTACTAGGAAATATTGTACTGAGATTTTCTTTTCTCTAAAAAAAAAAAGAATTATCACTGAAAATAAAACTTTAAAATTAAAGGGGAAATATAATAAGCTGAAATTATTTTATCCATTAAATTACATAGCTAAAAAATTTATTGAACTAAAAAATTAATTTAAAAAAAAAAGTGTGATAGTACAATAATAATACTGATAATACCGATGGTGTTGGAAAATTAATATCGGAAATGGCAGCTAAACGATATTTTAATGTAAACAATTGCAATTGGCTCATTTCTAGTTCATCGTTTAAATCATGAGCTAATTCACAGTCTGGTTGTAATGATCCAAGTGAACGTACAAGCTTAAAGAAAAAAAAAAAATGATAAAATAAAACTTTTTCACTTTCTTTTTAATAAAAAAATATTTAATTGAAATGTTTTTTTCCAAAATTTATACTACTTGAAATCAAAATTCGAAAATTTTAAATACAAATTAATAAATCAAAAAATAATTGTCAGAAAATTTGCATTATTTAAGCATTAAATTTTTAAATGTAAAATTTTTTTCAAATTATCATATTATATAATGTTTATTCTTTTTTTTTTTTAATTTGTTGGATAAATGTGAAAAAAAAAAAAAAAAAAAAAAACGAAAAGTCCATATCGGAAGAAATTTTTAATTTCCTAAAAAAGTACTTAGATACCAAAAGAAATTCTTTTAATGATTAAATCGAATTCTTTTAGAAATTAAATTTAAACAACTTTTTCTTTTTTCATGTATAAAAATGTATATTGTAAACAAACATTTTTATTCTTGTTTAAATTTATCGTCCCTTTCTTTCTTGCTTCCTTTTTTTTTTGAAGAAAAATTGTAAGACAAAAAGATATATTAATTTTTTTTTTTCTTTTGAAATTGAAATAGTTTTTGGTTTCTCTTTCATACAATGATTAATGTTTTACATCGCATCCTTCATGATATCAATTCCTCTTTCCCTTCTTTTTCTCTTTTTTTTCCTTTCCAACAAATTTCTTTTCTTTTCTTTTCTTTTTTACTGAACCTTTAATTGTGACTTATTTATTTGTTTGTTTATTTTGTTTATTACTTTTTAAAGCAATAACAAAAACAAAAGAGAAAAGAGAGGAAAATTCAACTAAACAATGATATTCATAAAGAAAAAAACAAATGAATGATTTTTTCTTAGAAAAAAAGGAAAATTATTCTTTCTTTTAGTTTTAAATTATATTAAAAAGTTTGAAATTAAATAAAACACAAAAGTTGATGTAATTTAATAATGACTGCTCAAAAAATAAGTTATAAGGATGATCACAATAATAACGAATAGTTAAAAGTTAGCAATAAAGTCATATTAAAATTAAGATTAACAATATGCAAAAGAAAAGAAATGGATTCATAAGATTTGAATTATATTAAAAAGTTTAAATTGAATGTTAAAAAATGATAACTAACAAATTTTAGGCAATAAATAGAATAAATTAGTCAAATATTGCCACGAAAAAAGTTACTTTTGCTATAATAAATTTCAAAATTTCAATTTATTTTGAAATATGATTGAGAGAGAATATATAGTAATTATTGCTTTTTAAAAAATAAATTCAACCTTATTAATAAAATAAAAATAGGCGGAAATTCCTTCAAATCTTCTTTTTTCTTCACAAATTCAAGGAATTATTGCCCCACTCCATTAATCTATCCAGGAAATTTGATATGAGAAATTATCTGCGTAGAAATGGAATAAAGTAAACAAATAGAAAAGATATCGAACTAAATTTAAAGTTAAAAGATCACAACGCCTAATATAATATAGTGGTTTGTCAACATTGAAATAAAGTCTAATGCTAAGTGATATGAGTGATATCAGCAAATACACTGATATCAGTAGCATTTATATCTTTCATTATTATTATTTTTATAACTATACTGCATAATATGCTGTATATATATATGTGCTATAAATAAGTAATTACTTCAATTTGCTGCTTTCGATAGTATCGTTATTTAAATTGTAATTATAGCAATAATTGTAAATTAATTATTAATTATATATCATCAATCAACAAATGTTACAAGTAAGGTCTTTGATATGATAAGCTTAATATTATTGCTAAAGAGTAAATGATTATTAATAAATAATAAAAAAGACCAAAAAAAAGTGTGTATAATGAATAATAGTTTGATAATAAATTAAAGTAAAAAAATTATTGATAAGCATACAATATAATGCATGTTAACAAACTGATAAATATGGAAAATGATATTTGTTTAATTCTACTGAATATTATAATTAGTGATATTTGATAACTTTAATCGATTAAATAATTATCAGAATAATTATTAGAATAAAAGATTGTAAAGTAATAAAGAGTGAAATATACCGAATTAATAGTTTCGTTTACTCTCGCAATTTCTTTTTGTAAATGATAAGTAGCACTGGAAATATTAGTGGTAGTAGATTGTAGGAAAGATGAAATTGTCAAAAGTTTAATTAATAGAAAGCGCAAAGTTCGCGAATTGGAACATTCGATAGCAAAGGCACCAGTTGGCTCAGATATATACAAGCGCTCTTTTATTTCACCGACAACCATAACACTTTCTAACTGAAATTATCATTAGGAAAAAAAATTTTATATGTGCAAAATATTTTTGCATAAACATTTATTGTAATTAGCAAATTTTTAATTAGTATTTAGAGTAAATTATAAAAATTTTGACCAACAGTTTATATTTTAATTATTCATAAGTTAACTGTAAAATAATAAATATCCAATATAATATTGCAACATTTGCAACTGCAAAATAATAAATTAATATAATTAATACTTTAAATTATTTATGAAATGGATAATTTTTCATACCAAACATTTGCTCATTAGCTGTTTCTATTATATGCAAATTCATTCTTTCTTTTTTTTTTTTCGATTTTCTTCTAAATGAAACGATTATTGGAGGAAATGATAATAGGAAGTGATGATATATGAATATATTAACCAGTTGTGATCATTAATTGACCAACAAATATGAGAATAAATATAGATGGAAAAAAAGATATGTAAATTAGAAGAAAGAATTATGAATATACTAATGCTATACAATATTAAATATGCTGATGTTTAATCTTTTCCTCTGAAAATTCAACTTAAAAAAAAAAAATAAATAAATAAAATTGAAATTAGTTTCATTAGAAACTTTACTGAATATTTTGACAAAATTGGAATTATTCGAAGAGATATGTGAAATAATTTATGGAATGATTTTTATGCAAAGTTTAAGAAATTTGATATTATTAAGCATCATCATTTGACAGTAATTGTTAGTTTATGTCAACAGAATTTGTAAAATTTACTAAAATTTTGCTGAAATATCTCAATTCTAATAATTTTACTTTCATAAATAAACCATTTGTGATAACATTTACGTTTGATGTGAATAAATTTCATTTCTTCCTAATTATATTACCTAATCAGTATGAATGTTTTACTGTAATGTTGTCATATATTCATGAAATATATAATTACCAAATTACCAACACAGTAATGAAATTCCTTCTCTAATTGGACGAAAATTTAATTAACTTCTAAAATTACTTATTAAAACAGTGTTGACATTGATCATAGCAGTAATACTTTTACATCACTGTCGTAAAATAATAGTAATGATAGCATCGTCATCCATTAAAAATGATAAATGATAATTGTAAGCAGCAATAATAATGATTATATAATAATTTAAACGCTATGCTATATTTCACACAATTATTTCAATCAAATTTTGCAAAAAAAATTCATTCAAACTTTAAAAAATGTTTAAAATATTTTATGTATTTTACAGAAAACTTTGCATAATACTTTAATTTAGCTTTATAATTTAACTATGACAAAAATATTTACATCTATGTTTGATCGATATTTATTATGCATCATTGAAAGAGCTTCTAATTAATAAGAATGCTATTTTAATTAGTGATGCAAGATAATAATTGCATCAATAAAACGCTGAAATGGTAGGTAATCAAGAAGCTATTGAATAAAATTTCATTGAGAATAAAGGTTTTAGAAAATTGCTTGCAACATTTAAGAAAATAAATATGAATGAGAAGAAATTCTGAACAACTATCATTCAATCATATAAAATTTCATTCGAAATCCTGCGATTAAATTTTTACTTTGATACATTTTAATTTCAAAAAATTCGCATTATTAAATTTGCATTGTGTAGACTTAGTTTTTTCACATTATATATTAAGACTTAGTCTTTTTTAAAAGAAGGAAAAAAAATTTTTTTAAATTAAAGAGATAAAGCAAGAAAAAACAAATTCGAAAATAAAACAAATTTTGTTATTCTCATAATAATGAAAATAAAAAAGTGAAGAATGTGAATTCTCATCAAATATTTCGTTTTGCATTTTTCTTTTCCCATTAATCAATTCAATTTCAAACAAAATGTATTAAACGTTAAAATTAATAAATGTTGGAAATATTGCGTCAAATTCTTATTGGAAATACAATTTTGAATGCTTTATAAAGCAATAAAAATAAGCCAATTTAGTTCATGAAAGAAGAAAAATCTTTTTTAGAGAAAAAAAAGATATAAAAGATTAATTTCCGGCAATAACAAAAATGAAAATTTTAACATTATTTTCTGAAAAATTCTCATTTCTTCGACTGTCATTAACTTTAAATTAAAAAAAGAAATAGTAATGTTGTATTATTATATCGTTATGTAATACTTAAGTGAAAAATTAATTTCGACTGTTTACTGCATATTAAAGTGGAAAAAGTAAGGAATAATATTAAATTGGAAAGTTTCATAAATTTAAAATAGAATTTCATAAATTCAAAATGTACTATGCATGGATAGCATGGAATTAAACTTTACAAATTTTAAGAAGTAAATTAAATTTCATAAGTTTCAAAAAGCATGCACCATGTATGTATAACGTAAAACTATTCCATAAAGTAATAAAGTAATTTATTAAAGATATCAATTATTGATATTATGCCTAAATGAATATTGTAAATTTGAAAGTATTGTTGCACAAGATAGTCTTTTTAGATCTACAAAAATATGAAATATATTTAACAGAAGAAGATTTCACTTTTATTTCCAGAAAAAAAAACTTGTAAAATTATTTTAAGAAAATTTCTTTTCCTAATTTATTGAAAGAATTATCTGAAATTTTGAAAAAAAAATAAAACATACCAAATTAAGAGAGAAATCTTTGCCCTTAAAGCGAATTAAAGCACCGTTTTGAGTAAGTTTAATTATGCATTCCGTAAATGATCCATTACGATTTTTGACGACACCTTCGTTTACTTCAAAAATTTGCGTTATAAACGCTGGAATGATGGTTGATTGCATAGATGATGACGTAGGGGTAGGGTCACGTGTAGTGATGCACCTTGACATCTCATAACTACCTTTGACCATCCTATAGAATCGATCACAGTCATCAACCGAGACTACATTAATACCGTATGTTTCACCACGATAATGCCAATAAGCAAAACAAGATGATACACGAGTGATACGACTTGCTGCAACGTATTTAAACAATTTTAAAAATAGTAATAGTATTAATAGTACTAGCAATAATACTAACAGTAATAATAAAATCATAAAAATAATTTTTCGTTTTAAACGAAAAATTTTAACCCAACCACATTCCGATTGCATTTTTGAGTATCTTTTTCAGTTACCTTATTTCTAAATTATCAAAATGCAAATTATTACTATATAACTAATCGGAATAAAATCGCTATTGCTTTATTTTAAATGAAATATTTTCTTTTCTAATTTAAATTTTTGTCAAATTCAAGTGGGCAAGTTAAAGACATACTCAAAATATTTTATTATTACTATTACTACTGTTATTTATCTACTTATTTATTACTAATAATTGTTATTAATTGTGATTCAATATTATTATTATTGTCATTGTTGTCATTATTATTATTATTGTTATTACTATTAATTATTATTATTGGCAACAGTAATAAACATAAGAGAAGCATCGCTAATTTTTCTTATGCTTTTAAAGCCATAAATACCTTTTTATATTGCATGCATGCATAAGCAAATTTATATTTTCAGGATTTGGAAATATTTGAAAAGTACTGCAAGTAAATAGTAAGTATGTACTTAAGCATATGTACAGTTTATTTTATCATTTTAAATCGATTAAGTGTACTCACATATTTAGCACCTTTCCAGCTTAGGAAAATTGTATGGTTGAAAGATCAAAAGAAGAAAATTAACTTTAAAAATGAAATAGTTTAACATTAGACCTTTTTAAGAGTTATCTCGTCATATATGAAAAATTTTAATAAAGATAAATAAGTAAACACACACAAAGTAATTGCATAAAAAGAGATTAAAGTAAAGGAAAAGCAAAATTAGACTCCTATAATTTTGAAAAACATACTTAAATTATCAATAATTCCATCTTCTATTTAATCGATCAATTTTGTTAATTTTTTTCAAAAGATAAAAGAAAAATCGTTTTCTAAACAAGTTTATACATTTATTTATTTTTTTTTTTGATAATATATTTATATACGAATTATTAAATTACCGAATATTAAATTTAAACTCGCCCAAAAAATAAAAACAAAAAAAAAGAAAAAAGAAATAAATGGAAAGTTTATTTGAGAAATAACAATTTTATGACTATCTCATTAAAAATGCATTTAACCATTCCTTTTTTATTCGTTTTATTTTTGCTTTTTACATATTTCATTTTTCTGTTATTTACTCTCAATTTTATTCATCATTTATATTTGTAAAATAAAAAACTTTCAAAAAAAAACTCTGAATTTTATAAGTTATGAGTGAGTGATATAAAACTGTCACTGCAATATATTTTATTGAAATATTTCAAACTACAAATCAATTTTCCTCAAATAACGATTTGCCATCACTCTTAATGAAATGGGAAACATAAGATGAATGAATTTCATTTTGCTTCCATAAATTATCCCTTCATTAATTAGTTAAACTTTCCTCTATCAAATTAGTTATTAACAGATGGGATGTGTAAACAAATGTATTCAAATATATTACTGCAAATTACGCACTATCATATTTTCAAAAATGTTTCAACCTGACCCAATAATAGATATTAAAGAATGTTTTCTCATAAAAACAAAGAAAATGGCATTTGAAATTGTTTGAAAATTACTTCATAAATAACAAATAATTACAAAATAATGAATCAGCTAATTCGATAAAAAATGATTATATGCTTCAAAATCTTTTAAAATTCTCTCTTAGGAAAATTACATATTTGTTATTCATTTAAAACTATCAATTCATTTTGTGGTGTGATTTTAATAAGTTTAAATGCATATTCGAGCAATATTTTCAGCAGTTTGCATTGAAATTAATTGGCTAATTTTAATCAAATAAGTTTTTTATTAATTAAATCTTTATTCTTTAAGTCTTAATTAGTTATACAATTAATTATTTTTGATGTTATTCTTTTTCAATGCAAAATCGATAAAAATTATATTTATTTGAATTATAAAAATTAAACTTTTAACACTTACATGGATCAAGAATTTGCTCATCAACAATTCCGGATTCATTTTTGATAAGCAATCGAATAGCTTTACAATTGACATCATGTTTTCGGGATGGCATTTCAATAACCGTAATGGATAGCAATGATGGATACAACATATTCCATTGGGTACGATCCGATGAAAGCCGGAATAATTCAGCCCAAAATCTATCAATAATCATTTGGTTCGAAATATGCGAAAGCAGTAACAAAAATTTGAATTTATGGAAAACCTGGAATATTCCAGAGAAAAAAAAAAAGCAATTTCAGTTAATAGGAAAAAACAAAAAAACAAAAAAAACAAAAACGGTTCGAGTCGAAAAGAAATTACCTAAATATTTTTTTCCCAAAAAACTTTTGAAATAACCTTCGAAGATTTTCAAAATATCAAAATGAATCAAAAAAAGAGAAAAAAAAAAAGAGAGAGAGAGAGATGCATTGGATAAAGTATATTTAACAATAACAAACAATTATGTATAACGACTAAAACGTTTACCAATTCCTAATTAAATTGAAAATGTATCATTTAAGAATTACTTCAACGTACCCATCTTTCTTCCTTATCTTTACCTTACTTCTATTTCTCTCCTCCCTCTCTCTCTCTCTCTCTCTCCCAATTTCTTTCTCTTTACCACTACGACAATCAGTTTTTCTTTTTCTTTATCTAAAAATTTAAATTTGAAATCAAAAATAACAAATAGAACTTATTGTTGCTGCAAAGAGAAATAAATGAACTGGAAAAGCTTTTTTTTTTTTTTTAGAGGGAGCTATAAGCTTAGTAAATACGTACACGCACGTGCACATACACGTACATACACACGCATACACATGTAGATACCCACATATACATACGTGCACATACACATGCACACGCACATATAAAGTACATAAGATAACATACACCTACACTTATATATATACACATACACAGGCATAATTCACGAATGCATACACACATGCACTCACAGACACACATACACAGATAGTTACGACGTAAACAGACACTTGCAGATAGCAATAACATCAACTGTCAGCCCAGCGAAATGAGTCTACTGGGAAAGGAAGGTTTCAGGATGGAAAGTAGGCGGCGGAGAAGGGAAGACGGAATGAGGCAAAGGACGTCGAACTGCTGCTGGAACACATTTTAGCAATTCGTTCTCATTCTAAGCTTATTCATCTCTTCTCATCACATTATGTCCTCTCTCTCCTTCCTTTCCCTCTTTTCCCTTTTTCAATTTCAATAGACAGAAGAATATTATATTTAAAATATTAAAGAGTAGATCAGATGGAATTTAAAATATTAAAGAGTAGATCAGATGGAATTTAAAATATTAAAGAGTAGATCAGATGGAATTTAAAATATTAAAGAGTAGATCAGATGGAATTTAAAATATTAAAGAGTAGATCAGATGGAATTTAAAATATTAAAGAGTAGATCAGATGGAATTTAAAATATTAAAGAGTAGATCAGATGGAATTTAAAATAAAAAAATTTTTCTTCTTTATCAATTCTGAACGTTTATTTATTATATTCTAAGACTTTACATATAATTATGCACTACTACAAAGATGGCGGAAAGATGAAAAGATAAGATCAGGATTTTATATAAATATATCAAATTTAGTATGCATATTAAGTGATATGACGTGTGATAATGATAAGCACCAATAAGCTTAATTGATGAAAAGGTTACTTCTGTGATGCATGCATGAGAAATGATAATTTTTGAAAGGGATGTAGTATGAAATTCTTATTTGATAGCAAAGTTAATTAAATTAGAACAGATTGTTACGGACGTTATTTCAATTTCAATTCTAACATACTGTTGGTTTTCAGTAAAATCTCGGTGCAAAGGAAAATAATGAAGTTAATCAAGTTTGATTGCTAAAATGTTGAAAGGATGATCATTGGATGTGAAATTGTGACATCAACTAATATGATATGACAAATATATTATTTATTTATTTATTTTCTATTATTATTATTAGCATTATTATTTTGCTTATGTTTATCTAATTACTTTATTGACTATTTATTATTTTTACTGATAGTTTTTGGCCAATATGTCAAAATTGTTTTTCTTTAATTGAAGCAAAGTAAAAATTTTTAAATTAAAACTTTCCAAAAATTGTAAATTTCAGTTGCAATTAAAACAAAAAGAGTAATAAAAAAATTAAGGAAAGAAAAAATAATTTAATTGCTAATAAAGCTAACAAAAAATTTACCTACTGCTGGAAAAATGTCGAAAAAACAAACAAACAAAAAAAAAATCCATTTGCAATGTCGCATTTAAAACGGTTTTATAATAGAAAGACGAATGAAATCAACCATAAAATGTAGTGATGATAAATGGGGCAGAAAAAAAAAAGTTTAAAGGGAAAGTATAAGTGACAGGTATGATGTCCTTTCAAACAATCAACCAATCAATTTGGATGAATTTTTTGTGTTGTCACTAAGGTGACGAGTGTGACAATGAGACATGACAGAAATGTCGAAAATTTTTCAAAATAAATAAATGCTATTCTCAAGCAGCACAAAAAATGCATTTCTTTACCTAATAATTTGAAAGTTAAAGGTTAGTTCTTTTCTTTTCTTATAAATTTATTTCTCATTTGATAAAATGTAATACTTGAATGATACATACATATTGTGTTATGATAATATATCATAAATACCATTTATATACGATGAGAATGTCACAAATATCTATCATATATCATGATAATATCATAATTATTTTTTTGTACTACGATAAGATCACGAATATCTATTGTATACTATGATAATATCATTAATATTTATCATGTCATATCATGACAGTGCCATAAATATGATAATATCAATATCATAAATATCTATCATACACTACGATAACTTTATAAATATTTATCATATCGTGATACTACCATATACTTGAAAATAAATTATTGTAAGTGCAATTTGATATGAGAACAATAATGCGTGCAAGAATGATAAGAGTACAGTGATTTATGAAATGTCAACTGCCACCTTTTTTGAACAAGTTAAATTAGTACAAATGATGTGACATTCAAATTTATTTCACTTTCAAATTTTTATTTATTTTGAAGAAAATTTTCAGAAGAAAAACGAAAAAAAATCCATTTGTTGCTAAGAAAAAAAAAGAAAAGTGTTAAAAAAGAAATCAAACTGTTGGGAAGAAAATTTTCAAATTCAATTAACTTAAATAATATATAATAATGAAATACACGAATGCATGCATGCATAAATGAATGCATTCATGCACGCATACACATATATCACAAATTAAATACAAAATGTGAAAGAAAGGAAAAAAAAACAATTGAAAGACCAACCTGAATTGTGTTATTGTTTGATGTTCAGCAGCTATTGTTGTTGCTGCTATGATATGATTAGGCTCTATCATATTATCAGTAAAGCAATAATGACGTATTTCACAGGGACATGATAACGAACTTCCCATATTCCTGAATAGTAATTGTGGCGCTTCTTGTTTTCCCTTTTCAATAGGATTGTAGCGCTTCTTATTTTCCTTCTTCCCTCTTTTTTCTTTGTCTTTTTTTTTCGAAAAAAGAAAGAGCTTAGGGAAGATAAATGTGAAAAAAAAAAGAGAAAAAAAGAGGATATAAGGCTAAATAATAACAAAACAATCTCAAACCTTAAACTTCTGGCAAAAGAGACAAGAGTAGAAAGCCTAAGTATAGATGGAATGAGTGTGTTATAATGCTAAGCTTTTCATATCTATTTTGTCATCATTGATTCTTAGGCTTTTTCTTCTTCCTTCTTATTTGTCTTATCAAACTAATGAAACATGGATTTTGAGTAACAGTAAAATATTTGTTGTAAAATATATTATCAGCTAAGTGTATTTGTTTTATATAAAAATAGCCAAAATAGCTTATATAAAAAGAGCCAAGTTAATTAGGATCAAGATAGATTGATAATTTAGTTGAGGTCAAGATGGATTGATAGTTTAGTTAGATCAAGATATTAGTTAGAATCAAGATAAATTGATAATTTACTTAGATCAAGATGGATTGATAGTTTAGCTAGGATCAAGATAGATTGATAATTTAGTAAAGAGTGATAGAAAAAAGATTATAAAAATGAAAAGCAGAAGAAGCTATAATAATAGTAATAGTAGTAGTAGTAGTGCTGGTAGGATTTAGTAGAAATGGTAGGCCAACCCAAAATTCATATGTTGCGTCCAATGAGAGAGATGAAATGAAATGAAATATGAAATGAATGAATATGCCAACACCGACTTAAGTCTTTACAAACTCTGTCTCATTCATATAAGCCTTTAGTTTCAGGCTTCATACTTCATCTCATATGCATTAAGCACAATATATAGACTATTGATACTTAAAAAATTAATAAATAAAAAAAATCCGAGAATATTCGTTGCGGAAACATAAAAGATTTTACTTAAACAATTAAAATGAATGAGCAACGAATTAGACTATATAATGGATTCTTTCTCAAAAGATATAAACATTTATATTTTCTCTAAAGTATTTCTTATGATACTCGCAACGAAGTAAGCAAAGGGTCAAATAAGAAAATCGATTGGTACTGATCACAGATTCATTCCACACGAAAATATATTCCGAAATGAAAATTATCGAAAAGAACAGGATTGAAAAGGATGAAAAATTATGAAAACTGAAAAATAATATTAATATATATGTATGCTTTATGTAGTATACTTCAAGTAATATCACAGAAGATCAGAAATATAATAAAAATTGATGGTATCAGGACATTCCGGTCTACATTCCAGTCTACATTCCGGTCTATATTCATTTCTTTGTTTGCTTTCTTACTTATTCATAATTTCAAACTGCTAACCTTTGATCTTTCTTTTACAGCGCTAATTTATTGCATAATGTTTAAATTATTCACAAAAAGAAAAAGCTGAATATTGAAAAGTCAATTCGATTAATTAAATGTTAGTGAGAGTGGAAATTTTATAGACTAAAAACTAATATTGATTAGATTAAATAGGAATATTTTATCAGTACAAGTCTGAATATGTAAATGTCTCTGTCATCAAAATTATAACAAAATAACAATAACATCGATTAAATGATTGTAATTATTATTGATAAAGTATTTTTCGATGATAAAATATTAAGAAATAAATTATTGCAATTATTTATCAACGAATAACGAATTTCT